CTATCACCTAGCTCAAACAATTAATATACAGCCAATCTGTTCCATATATACCTCCTAATATTTAGTGCATCTCCTCTAAATTATCTTGAAAATATAAATATATCCTTTTATTAGTAAATGATTTGTAAAAAAAAAAAAAAAAAGCAATGCTATATTTACCTCTAAAACAATGACACTACCATTATCATGTCTAAAAAAAACTAACACAAATTACTCAATACAACAAATATCCACAGTGTTCTCATTTCTGAGGTTATAAAACTTCTAAGAAGATTACAAAGAAGTCTTGTTATAGTTTGTTTCTCTTTGAATAGGTGTACAAAGTCCGTACATTGTAATTGGTCAGTTCATTTCTTAAGTTAAAATATAAAATTTCTCCCTCATCTCCTTTTCTCCTTGCATTTTTTGGTTGGAAAAAATATTGAGTTATTTGTCCTAAAGACATTCTTTACTTTCAATTTTGCTGTTTGTATCTTTTGCAGTGTCATTTAGCGTTGTCTTCTCTTCCCTATATTTCTTACTTACTGGTATTTAAATCTAATCGGAGATTTGATAAGATTAGTTTTCTTTGGAAGTAAAAAGGAGGACTATTTCAAAGGTGGTGTTTCAAGCTTTTAACTTCCACCAGTATGTTCAAAATGGCTTGAGATTTTTGGTGATAGTATTGGTTATTGATCGCCTTTTGCTAAATTTATTAATTCATTAGGGATTTGAAAATTACACTATTCTCACCTATAAGTGGGACTAAACATTAAGTACACATGGACATAAAAATGGGAACAATAGACATGACACATTACTTGAGGGGGAGATGGAGGAGAAAGGCAAGGGCTGCAAAACTACCTATTGGGTACCATGCTCATTATCTAGTGGATGGAATCATTTTTACCCCAAAACTCAGTGTCTCACAATATACCCATGTAAAAAATCTGCATATATACTCTCTGAATCTTAAATAAAAATTAAAATTATAAAATTAAATATGTAATAGCTTAATTCTTACTAGAAATTAATCTACTTACATGTAATATAGAATTATAAAAACTACAGAGAGGGTCTGAACTGATCATAGTAACAGAAATTTTTCAAAACCGTTAAGAATTATCCCTGTACAATCACTACTTTCTCAATTTCTCTACTGTGACACAAAAACCAAGCTGTGCAAATAAAACCCATTAGAGTTCTACCAATCTAAAAGCGATTGAAAATTATAGTATATTTGCTACATTTTTTCCTTTAACTGTTGCATTTGACTCAAATAAGTTTAAGGATTTTGTATTTTTAATCTTGTTTTTATTAAAACTGTTCTACAAATAAATTTGTCATCTCTGGAGAATAGTCTTTATTTTCAGACTATTTGTTGGACTGAACCAAGGTTGCACTGGTATTATTTCAGTAAAACTTCAAAACCTTACCAAAATCCTTTCAGGATACTTTAAGATTGAATTACATTTCAATAAATATTAATTACCCTAAGAAAGAAAAGAAAATTATAATATTCTTATTCTCTCATCCTTTTTTTATTAGTTGGAATTCTATGAAGAGAAATTTATCTTTACTCTGTAATAACTCTAAGGAAAGAATGGAATAGGAAAGCTAGGATAAACACACAATTTCTCCCTAAATACCGCTAATTTTGAATATATTAATATTTATATATAATATATATATTATATATAATATAAATATATAAATATTAATATGTTTAAATATATTAATATTTAAGTTGTGTTTAGAATTATTCCAAAATGACCATGTGATGTTTTTATAGTGTTTTTTAACATAAATTTTATTAAAATAATGTTTCAACCATTACTATTTTATATGTTTCAACCATTACAGTCATTCTTACTGATGCTCAAACTTTCCTATATTTGATTAGCAGGAGCCTGTTCAGGCTGGCTTCTGACTCCTATTGGCACAATGTATTCTTCAAGGCATCCTAGCTCCTTTTTATGACAAGATATTCCAGGCCCATCTTATGTCTTTACAGCTGGTATTAGTCACTTACCAAGGATCCATGGTGCCTTTATTTATGGTGCTAGTTGCACTGATTGCTACTTAGTTGATCATTGTTTCTAGACCTTTTCAGTGGAGAGTGCTAATACACACACACGTAGATCTCTCTCTCTCTCTCTCTCTCTCTCTCTCTCTCTCTCTCTCTCTATATATATATATATATATCTACTGTATATATGTATACATGTTTCCAGACTGAAAAACTCTTAACTCAAATTTGGGTATACAACATATTGCCTAACCTCACTGGATCTTATATTATAGATTACATTTAAAGCCATGACACCAGATAAGGTCATTAAGGAAGTAAATATAGACAGCAAAAGAAGATATTCCACAGATTGAATTTTGGAACACTCCAGCAATGAAGACTAAGAGCACATGACCACTGAAGTAGGAGGAAAACCAGGGGAGTATGGTGAAACCAAGTGAATAAAATGTATCCAAGAGAAGGGCACATTAATGACATATAATTCTGCTAATACATCAATTAAAAGGAGGTCTGGATATTGATCACTGGATTTATTACTGTGAATGCCTTTAATGTTATTGATGAAAATATTTGCATTGGAGTGGTAAAGGAAAAAACTGATTAGAGTTGGTGAAAAATGAACTGGAGGAGAGGAAATATATACAAGGAATATGACTAAAATGTGGGCTTAGAAACATGGACTGTAGGAGCAGGAAGGAAGACAGCTAATAGCAATGTACATTTGGGTAGAGAGTAGATGTCATGAGGACAGAGTGTAATATTTCTCCCAATATTTCTGGGGTTTTTTTAGTGAATTTCCTAGGCAAGATCATCAGCTAATAATCAGGGTGCAAACAGAAATGAGGATTTGAGAGAGGTAAAGTGATTGGGTCATTAAAAGGTATTATGTCTAGCAATGCCTCTAGGACTCAGTGAGTTTAGTGGTTATAAATATAAAATAAGCCCTAAGGTCATGTTACTCAGTTGTTCTTCAATCATTCATTTAAAACAGTGCGGATGGAAATACTAAGGAGAAAGAAAGTGGATTCAACTGAGGTGAGGTTTGCCTGGGAAGATCAATAAATTGAAAGAGAAACAGAAGAATTGAGGTTATACAGAAGGAAGTGAGTAAAATAATTGCAGGAAAAAAATTCAAGTAAGGAGGAAAATGAGAATATGAGTGTCCTGGCTTGAATTGTGTCTCCCAAAAAGATATGAGCAAGTCCTGACCCCCTGTACCTGTGAATGTGACCTTTTCTGAAAAGAGAGTCTTTGCAGACCTTATCAAGTTAAGATGAGGTCATTAGGGTGGGCCTTAGTCAAAGATGACTAGTGTCTTTTTAAGAACAGAAAAAAGAGACATAAAGGGAGAAGATGGCCGTGTGGTAACAGAAGCAGCTGTTGGAGTGATACACCTATAAAACAAGGAATTCAGGCTGTCAGCAAACACCAGGAGGTGGAAGAGGTAAGGAGGATTCTTCCCTACAGGTCTCAGAGGGAGCATGGCTCTGCTGACACCTGGATTTTTGATTTCTGGCCTTCAAAAGTGTGAGACAATAAAGTTCCATTTAAGGTCACACAGCTTGTGGTACTTTGTTACTGCAGTCTTAGGAAATGCTTTCATTTTTATATTGTCTGTGGTTAATTTAACACCACAATGGCAGAGGTGGGTGGTTGTGATAGAGATCGCATGGTCCTACAAAGCCTAAAATGTTTATTATTTGTCCCTTTATAGATGTTTGTTAACCCCCTGGTCTAGAGTTTGGAAATGGGAATGAAAGGCTAAAGTAGGCCACAATCCAGTGCAAAGGTGCATATAAGAAGGTCTGAATAAGTGTAAAAATTATGTGCATTCAAAACAGTAACATTAACTGTGGACTCTGGAAATAAGAAAAGGATTCATGTTGGAGAGTGAAATTGAGCCAGTTGGGAATAGACCAAATTACATTCTCAGGGGAGAATTTCATTTCTTGGTGAGGAAAATTATGCCCTTTGGGTTGGTAAATATTATCTCCTCTTTAATAAAACAGTGGCCTGGCCACCTGTTAGACACTGAGAAGTCTAGACTAACACTCAATGTATTCGGATGTTTGCTCACTATTTCCAATGGAAAAGTCTGGTTTGATTGTTAAAGTGAAATATTTGGCCTTTCAGAGTCTGAAAACACCATTGCTTCATTGCAAGGTTTAAGATAAACCCATTTTTCTTTTCTTTCTTTTGTAGTAAAATGTGCTTGAATAATATTGATTAACTATCCTGACCATTATGTGAACCAAATATATATCTCTCTCTATATATATAAAATGATGATACCTTGCAGTCATTTTCTTGCAGCGTGCTTTTGAATACATTATATAATTTAATCCTTAAAACAGCCCTATAAATCTGTTTTTTTTTTTAACCAAAAAATTCTGCTTTATAAAGGAAGAAGTTGAGACTCAGTAAAATTAAGTGACCATCCCAGAGTCTCAGCCACTTAAGAGTAGGGTGAATCTTGGATAATTCTTGTAGCAAATTTATTTGTTGGTAGAAAGCAAATGCAAACTAATACTGCTTAAGATCCTCTAAAGTTTTTCTCTTGGAAAAAGAATTTATTAGAATTGTAGACTTTCTCAGTGCAAGGATTTCTTTATCCTTGGAATTAGGCAGAATAAACAATGCCAAAAATTCAATGTGTGTTTTTTTTTTTCTGTTTTCAAAACTCATAGAAATTGTAAATATGAGCAATTGATCATGTCTCTGAGAATTAACTGTTTCTGTACAGAGCACTGCAGAGCTTTGGTGTGACCTGATACTTCGTCCCTAAAGAGTCTAGAATACCAATGGAAAAGAAAACCATGTAGCAAATTAGCCCAAGAACCATTAAAGACAAAACAAAACAAAAACAAACAAACAAAGAAAACACAAGGATCTCAGTGATGTCCCTAAGGAATAGTTGGCTTAAAAACTTTTTGGAAGGAGGAGAGGTCTCTGGTATAAACTTCCGCCCTCCTCTGGCTTCTGTTCCCTTACCCTCTGCCCCCTGCGGAGTTGTGTTTTCTGGGAATCAGCAAGTAAGATCACAAGTGGTCTTTTCTTTTATTCACTCTCTCCCATAAAGAAAGCTTTATCACGTGTGGCCTTAAACTTGCAGCAAATTGCAAAGAAATGGCTCAAAAGCTTCAGCTCTTTCTGTGCCCTGGGAGCTGAGATGCACGTCAGTGGCCTTGCCAGCGTGGCCAATTCTCTGCTGACTGCCAGAAAAAAAGAGGCCAGGAGGAAAGAGGAAAGATTGCTCAGGGGTGAGACCATGCCCTTCATCTTTTATTTCCCCTAATCTGCTCTGCCTGTGTCCACCCACGCTCTCCCCACCTGGCAAAATTGTTCAAAATTGCTGTGGAGTTTACCTCAGTTTCCTCTTTCAGCCTGTGGTGTGTGGTCCATCCTCTTGCTGAGCACATTGAAAGGAACTGGCTATCTTTGATCTCTACCTCCAGGTAAGACTTGGTTCTCTCATTTTATATTTTGTGACTAATATATCAGATTCTTATGGGAGATTAACCCTTAATTTATGTGCTATTTATGTTTTATCCATAAAAATTATCAATGAAACATGATGATCCCCTTGTTAGTTTGATGGAAATAAGACAGAAGATTGGTTAAGGAAATCAGATAAACTCAAATTTGAGTTCACATTTTGAATCTCATGCTTGTAAGTTGTTTAGCTTTTGACAAGTCACTTAATTGCTTTGGGCCATCTAATTTAAACAATGGAATTCTAATACTATGCTTGTTGGGTTGTTTTAAGGATTACAAAAAGTACATACATCACCCAACACAAAAATAGTACTTATTAAATCTGAATCTGACACAAATAATTTGTATTGGTTGGGAAATTAGTTTCTAAACAACACACACTCCTCTCCAGCAAGTGCCATGAGGCTATTTTTTAGCTCGTCTGAAGGGAGGCATCCTGGTATCCAGAAGTCAAGCCGGCACAGAGGTTTTCCTCATGGGAGATGGCCAAGAGAAGACAGGGAGGAGCGTGGTTGCCTTTAGGACTTTCTCTGTGGCAGTCCTTGGGGACTGATTGCTGGACAGAGTCCGAATCAGTTGCAGAGCGGAGGGGTTGAGTACATCTGTGGGATCCAACTACAACCTTCATAAGCCACTTGCTCTCTATATTTAAAATCTGAAGGGTTGATTTTGAAACTCATGAGGATAGATTATTCAATGTTTTTGAACTAAAGCAAGAGAAACTGCTTGGCTTGTTTTTCTTTGGCCTCCAGAATAAGTTATGCTCCAAACCCAGGGTATTGGATGAAAACTGTCATATGTCTTTTCCTGGAAGAATCTATTCAAGTGGCCAGAGATCAATTAAGGATTTGCCAAATGCAAATCATTCTGAATAACTGTGTACTCTTGCTCTACTTCTGCAGTTGCAAATGAAGAGAGAGAGCCTTCAGGCCCCAAGGATCTTTCCATTCATGTCATTGAGCTTCCTTCCCTCTCTTTTTACAGGAGATGAACTGTAGCCTCCTTGGAACATACTACACTTGCAATAATTTGCGCATTAGCCATCAAGACACTTCAGTAAAGCTATGTAGTGCCAATAGTTTAAGCTGGATACTATTTTGCCCTAACACAAAGTGAACTGAGATGACTATATTTATCTTTCGTTATCACATTTGAATTTCAGTTACAGTGATTTTTCTGTCAATACCTCCATATATTAGATAACTTTAAATGTCCTATAGTGTCTCAAGTTTTTCAGTAGTGTTTTTATTATTTTTTCTCTTTGGCATTAGCATTCTAGATGTAACACTTTGGATCTTTTAAAGATAAATTTAGGATAAGTGATAGCATATTTTATTATTAAACAATTTATTTGTATTTTCTGGCCACTGGCTTTAATATTATGACTGATGAGAAATAATATGATATCTGAATCCCCAAAACAGAAGGCCAATTTGAATTATATAATTTAATCGTTTGAAGAAGATTGCAATTTAAGCCATAAATTTAATAATTATCCATTTCTTATTTTAAAACCTTTCTGGTTTGTATATCTCTTGCTTGGCAATGTTTTTACTCATAGTTTTGTAGTAAAGATATCTATTTAACATTGTCATTGTATAACTCTGTGTTTCCCAAACCCTGTTTTCCTTGTCCTAGCAAAATATTGTTCTAGAAAAGTAGTCCTAGTGACTCAGTAGATATAGGAAGTTGGCTTTTGACTAGTAAGGAAGAATCTCTATATTCTTCATTTCTTAAACTTTGTTTTTTAAATCAGTAATAGATGCTGAATTTTATCAACATGTTTTTCATGTACTGAAATTCTATTTTTTATTTTGAATTATTCATGTGGTAATTTAGGCGAATAAATTTCCTGTAATTAACCAATTGTTTCATCTTTTAGAATAATTCTAACCATAGAACAAGAGTTAATTTGGATTTGCTAGCATTTTACTTAGAATTTTTGTAATCTATGGGCTTGATCTGAAGTTTTCCTTTCTGTGCTATCTTTGTGCTGTTTTGTTACCAAGATAATTTTAGTTTTGTCAAACTAATGGAGACAAAGATTATCTGTTTCCATTATCTGCTATCTTTCCTCAAAGAATATCCCTTGATAAAGCACTTCTGGTACATCATCTATCCTTAGTATCTTTGTTTAGGGAATAGTTTCAGAGTATTTTTGATAATGTCTTTCTTGGCTATTTTCTCTTCTGGTTTTTATCAATAAAGGTAATGAATATTTGCTAGAAACTTAACCATTAAGTCAAGATATTAAACTTGCTTCTACATTTGATGCATCTTCTTATGTTTTATACTCCTAAATATCTGCGTTTTATCTCATTAATATGTATTTGTATCTTTGTTTTTTGTCTTGATTAGTGTTATTAGCTCTTTGTTTTGCTTATTTTTTGTTTTTAAATTTTTCTGTTTCACTCACTCTTCTTTTTAAATTAAAAAATTAAAGTTACGCATGCTTATAAAATGAATCTAAAAGCCTAATAATAATTTTTTTGAAACCAGACCCTTGCCTCATCCTTTCTTTACTCATTTCCCACTCCCTGGAGGAATCTAGTTAACTTTTAAATTGTTGAAGTCCTCTGATGTTTTACCTTCTTATTATTAGCACAAAGCAAACCGTTTATACTACTATTACTTGATTTTTCAGTTTGAGAAAGTATGAATTGAAATGATGTTGGATGAGGTTTAGTAAACACAAAACAAGCGTTGCATAAAGTCAAGGTGATATACACATAGTCAGAATAAATTTCTGCCACAATACACGAAATTTGACTCATAACATTATTCCTTTAGGAATAATATTATTCCACTTCTATGATGTGGATATAGAAGTTCTCTATTAATGTACAATTGTATCATCTGACAATATTAGGGAGACTGAGAAATTACTTTGTTGAATTCCTTGAGTTAGGTTAGATTAGCAGGCAGGCACTGAGCCATGTGGAATCCTAAAGAAGTAGGGGCACAGGATATGTAAATATTGATGTGAACAGGGAGAAAATAGGTTGAATGTGTGATCCCGTCCTGTGAGGGGCGGTGGGAAATTGAGCATGGGAAGCAAGGCTGTCTTTTTTAAGACTGATCAAAGACTGTTCTTTCACCTGAATTCAATCTAAGCCTGAGGCACAAATCATGTTGCTCCCTTATTTGTCAAACAAAAACAATACACAAATTGGACCTCTTCTCTTTTGTCCTATTTTAAGGCTCACTTTGGGTGCTACAGGAATCATAAGGTGGTATAAGGATCTATAATGAATGTAAAACTTTTCTGTTTGTTTTGCTATGAAGACAGATTTAAAGGCTTTAAAGACTTTATTCTAATGAATCAATATTCAAATAGTTGAATTCCTCTTCTTCCTTTCCTGCTTGCTCCTAGTTTAAACTGGCAAGACCACAAAGTTAGCAAAATTCTGCCTCATTATTTATTCCAAAGGCAACACTTAAATTTATTCTTTGCCATAATGAGGCTTAAACTGGAGGGATTGAGAAAGAATGCTAGCTACAGAGTTCCAATAGCAGGATTAGTTAATCAGATATCCTGGTTGATTTTAATTGAAAACATTTGCCAACTTACTGTGACAACAAAAGGTAGATTCACTTTAAATTGGGTCCATAGAAGTGTGGTATACTGTTGAATAAAAAACTTTAATAAATTGTGTAGTATTTATTTATTTATTTATTTATTTTTACTTTAAAAACTAACTTTAACAGATCAGAGTCAAGGAATGTGTTTATAATGGACACTTCATCCAAAGAAAATATCCAGTTATTCTGCAAAACTTCAGTGCAACCTGTTGGAAGGCCTTCTTTTAAAACAGAATATCCCTCCTCAGAGGAAAAGCAACCATGCTGTGGTGAACTAAAGGTAGAGCAACCAAGAAGTAAATAGTGTTGATGCTCTTAGTTTTCTGTCCAGATATCTTCTATATGAAGTTAGAATGAGCATTGTTTTCTCCTTTTTAAAAAACGATCTTAGATGCAATTTACTAAAACCACACCTTGCCAGGCGGTACAAGCAATCTCTACCTGACCATGTCGGTTAAATTACTTTCCAGGGCTCATTTAAATGCCCCTCCTAAACAGAAAAGACAGAAATAGTAGAAACTACTATTTATTGAACTTCTGCCATGTGCCAGATATTACGCCAAGCACAGATACAACATTTAATCTGTGAAACATCACATTACTCCCATTTTGCAAATAAAAATGGGAATAATGTTACAGAGTAAGGAGAAGAGCTGCTTTTTAATGCAGCTTTGTGTGCTCCTATTCTTTCTTTATACAAATATTCGCTCAACAAATCTCTGTTTTTTTCATATAAATGCTAACCTTCCCTATGAATGTTCTGTCACAGTTCCATGTCTAGCAAAATATATAAGCTGGATATCAAAGACATGTTTTCCATTGAGAAAAATATTGGACTATGAATTTAATAAGCATAAACATAAACACAAGGAATAATAGTTGCACTTTTTCAGTCTGCACATTATGTTCCCTGCTGGTGCATGTACCACCCTGTGAAATACATACTCTCAAATGCTGGATGTGTTATAGGATGTCAGGTGTGTGGCTTATGGTTTCATTTACTTTCTTACCAATGAATATCTCACCATACACTGACTCTTTGATGTAAGACTCCTTTGAGTGCCCCTCTGGACCAGAGTGGAAGAAGACAAAGGGAATTCAATACACATTTCACATAAAAATCAAATATATATTTTAAATTCCAAGAGAATTTGAACTTTTGAAAATGTACATGTGCTTAAGGCTGGTGGAAACCTTGATCAGTGTTTGAATTTCAGCGAGAATAAAGTTGATATCATACATTGTTCTTTGTTGTTTGTTTTGTATTTGTTTGTCTGTTTACTTAGTTTCCAACTGTGTGTCACGCTGGAGTCAGACTAAGTGTGACCTGTCATATTTTCCAGGTGTTCTTGGGTGCCTTGTCTTTTGTTTACTTTGCCAAAGCATTGGCAGAAGGCTATCTGAAGAGCACCATCACTCAGATAGAGAGAAGGTTTGATATCCCTTCTTCACTGGTGGGAGTTATTGATGGTAGTTTTGAAATCGGTAGGTATTACAGATGCCTGACTTTAATTTTAAGCCCAAGATCTTATAGGCGTCGCTAAAGGACATCTGCATTCTGTTGTCTGCTGGGATCTGATTCTATTCATAAAATCTTTTTTTGGGGGTGACAGAATTTGCCATGATCTTATTCTACAGGAGAGGCAATTTTCTCAGAGAAATCAACAGTAAATTTTTCTCCCAAGGTGTTCGGTATTGTATGGTTCACACAATTCAGAGTTCCACATCAGAGTAAGTGACTTTCTTGGCGAAGAGGGTGAGATGCTAATTGGTATTTTGAGTTATAAATATGTAGAAGTGTCTTTACAGAAGAGCAATACACCCTGGGAGCCCTATGATTCAATTTTAGAGATGTGGAATAATCCAAATGCGCTCTACAAGAATTTACTGCAATGATGAAAGAAGTTACATCATAAAGGGATTTTTCCACCCAGTGGCCAAGAAAGAAGAATAAAGGAATTCTATTACCCAGAGCACAAGATTCGAGCAGGCAATAAAAATTCAAATCTCAGGTGTCTTTGGTTAGCAATTGACTATAGACTCCTTAGAAATTAAAAAGACCGAGTAATTTGAGTCACTGTTTTAGAAGTAATTTAAAGAGGATAATCCTAGTTAGTCTGCTTCCTGAATTGATAAACTAAAAGGCTTTAATTTTTTGTTGAAGTAAACAAAACAGTACCCTCTCTGGTCCTTAAGGCTTGTTTAGATTCAGATATACGCTATAGTAAAACCTCTAACTGCTCCAATTTTAACTTTACCTGGTGAACTTTCAGAACAGTGAATACATATTTTTCAACCCCTTAACAATTTATTTCTTTTTGTACATACTATGTGTTTTGGTTCTCACTCTGAATATCACAGAAAAAATAAAATGAGTAAGTAACCTTTTGCCTTCAGGCATTTGCTTCCCAAATTCATCTTTTGTCATCCTTCCAGAATGACATTTCTTAGTGCCAATCAAATTTTAATGTCCACACAAATTACTGGGCAATCTTTTAAAAATCTTTTTTAAAACCTGATTCGGTAGGAACAGAAAAAAATTCTGAATTTCTAATAAACTCCTAAATGATGCTGATGCTTCAAGTCAGTTGATCACACTTTGTGTAGCAGGTTTCCGAAACATCTGATCACATCAATCTTTTATGTAATTTGCTTAGATTGGCCCAGATGGTTGATTTATTCCTTGAGCCCTGTTCTACTGATGGCCCTGCGCTGAATGAAGGGCCAAAGAGAATCAAGGTAAAGGCTGACACATTATATCATGAGAGGAAACAAGGAGAAAGAGGTAACTGGTGCAGATAAAAGAATAGAGCAGATATGAGCAGGCAAAACATTACATATTATGATGTTTTGATGTTTTTCTCACTCTAGATTATTATATAAAAATATTTCAGAGCTGAAGAGGCATATAAATGATTTGGTCCAAAGCTTTGTTTGGGGTCCCAGGTCCCGATGCAACTTGAGAGAAAAGTCGATAGAGAGTACTAAGTTTTCACCGGAAGTAGCAGAAACCCATGACTCCAAATTCACATTAATTCTTCTAGACTATTCTACGTATATAAATTCTTTATTGGATCAGTTGCCTTAAAATGGCTTAAAAGTTCTCTTACTTCCATTGAAAACCTTCATCCCAAACATCACAGGTTTGCCCTAATTATTTGAATTACATAAATTTCCAGACAAATGACTTTCCTGAACATAATCTTAATTTATTTCTTTTGCCTCTTTTTGCATTCCTTCCTTCCAAGGTTCTGGAACCAACATCACCCTCCATCTTTATGTTATTTGTATGTGGCAACTTTGTTGAAATTCTGTTAGTTTTAATTGATTTTCCATGGAAACTGTAGAGTTTTCTGGACAAATTGTCTGAAACAAAATATAATTTCGTATCTTTCTTTGCAACTCTTAGATCTGTTTTTGTTGTTGTTGTTGTTATTATTACCTTATTACATTAGCCTCAGTACTATGTTGAAGAGAAGCATTTACAATGGACATCTTTCTCTTCTGTTTGACCTTGATGCAAATACTTTTAAAATTTTAGCATTAAGCAATATGCTTGCTTTGTGGTTTTGATAGATACACTTTAAAAGCTGGTGTGCTCAGATTTGTTTTTCCTACCATAAATGAATGGTTAATTTTATTTAGTACTTTTACGATGTCTATTAAGTTAACTGTGGAATTATTCCCCTTCCATTTGTTATATAGTGATTTAATTAATAATTTATTTTTACTTGGTGTTACTCTTGTACTAGTATAATAAATTGCGCTTGGTTAGGATATTTTTATTTTTATATACTATTCAGTTTGCTAATATTTTGTTTAGGATTTTTACATCTATCTTCATAACCAAGTTTAGGCTCTAATTGTCTTTTCTTATATTATCCTTGACCAGTTTTGGTTTTAAGAAAATAGTAGCCTTACAAGATGAATTGAATAGCTTTCTTTCTTTTCTGTTATCTGAAGTGTGTGTGTGTGTGTGTGTGTGTGTGTGTGCGCGCGCGCGCGTGCATGTGTGTGCATAGAGAGAAAAAGAGAGAAGAGAGCAAGAATATGTTACTTTAAAGTTTGGTAAGACATATTTCTAAAACTTTCTGTACCTGTTTTTTTGTGAGAGGCTAATGATGGTAGATACGGAAAAATTTTTATATCCAATTTCATTTTTTAAAGATTTTGTATCATCATTTACATTCCAAGTGTATCTCCTGAGATCTCAGAAAAGATATTAAGGAAGCAAAAACTTTGATAGATACAGTGTGTATGTGTGTATATATATATATATGTGTGTGTGTATATATATATATTACAGATACTGAACTCATATTGTCTTGTATATGATATGCCCATTAACATAACACAGAAATAGCCTGTAAACAGGAGTCCTTTATTGTGTGGTGTTGGTGAAGTGTAGGCAAGAATAGGAGAGAATTGCCTATAAAGTCACAGTCAACTTTCATTTTCTATTGGTTTGTTTATTGTGGTAAATTAACAAACATATAGATAGATTATCAAAATAATATGATGTACAATGTCTTCCACTAAATTCTTAAATTTCAAATGAGAAATCTTGTGCTCAGTTATTAGTTTTTTAATATGAACATTAAGAAGAGCTTAATTCTTCTTGGAGCCATAAAGACTAGGACCACTGTTCAAGTCATGTTTCTCACTATCACTCTTATTATCCTCAAGCCCACAAAAATTACTGCTTTATTTCCAATTTACTAAAGCTGGCAATGTGAGTGAACAGTAGTAAATTAGATGATTGCTTACAGATATAGGGAAACATGCTTTTGCCCCAAAATTGGAAATGAGGAGGACTTCAAAGCAAGGCCATGCATTAGCCATCACAATCAATTGCTGGGAAATTGTTAAGATCTTACTCTATCTAGCACTGTACATCTTAAAAACTAAATATCTCAAATAAATACAGCTAAAGCTTTAAAGTCCCTTGAAGTCTAAAACCTTAACAATGTTTATCAAAGCATGTTCTAGGAATCATCTCCATCAACACACTGGAGTTAGTATTAGAAATGCAGATTTCTTGGCCTGACCCCAGAGCCATGGACTCAGAAACATTTGGTATTTGCCAAGAATCTGCATTTTTAACAAGTTTCCATTTGCTTAACCATTTCCTTTCAGTATTTTTATGCATAGCAAAGCCTGATAGATATTACTTGAAGCGTGTTTAATCACTTATCACCATCATCAACTAAAAGTAATGTATCACATGCTTCAGTAGAGACATTTTGGGAAACCATAATTTCTATTTTCAAAAAACCCCAAGAGTTTTAAACCATTTTTCACAAAAGAGATAGATGGGCATATTTTATGGAGATTTTGTATTTCATAAAATTTGTGTTATAGACATATGTTGTAGTTATATAATTGATGTATACCTGAAGTTGCCTATGTGGAATAATTTTTATTTCTATTTTGAGTCTTAATCTTTTTGTACAAAGTTTATTAACAAATCATAAAATATCATTTGTGTAAATGTGTTTCATCATTTTATTTCATTTAAAGTGAAGTACAGTCGTGTTTAATTTTTCTATAAAGGATATCAGCTAAATAATTTGTAATGTAGTTCATGAGCAGTTAGAACACTAATAGAAGTTTTCACAGAAATTTTAATGAATAAAGAAAAAATATGAAGTTTACTTCAAAATTACTAAAAAATATTTAAGAGAGAAACTAAAGGAAGCCTTCTAGAATTTGACTTACTGATAAAATATTTTACAAGGAAAAATAATTAGAATAATTAGGTTGGGTGAAGTGAGGTAGAAGGATTGAATTAAAATATTTCGATAAAGGGATGAGGTGATTGAAGTAATGAACATGAGAATTTCAAGAGTCATATTGGATTAAAGGAAAAAAATTAAATGATGCAGAGATGGCTTAGTCAAAAGAAAACATTGCTTGGTCTGCTATATACATTCATTGGTTATGCTGTTGACTTCTTTCTAAGTTCTCTAATTTATGATGTTTTATTCTTTTCCTCAAAGGGAATCTCTTAGTTATAACATTTGTTAGCTACTTTGGAGCCAAACTTCACAGGCCAAAAATAATTGGAGCAGGGTGTCTAATAATGGGAGTTGGAACATTGCTCATTGCAATGCCTCAGTTCTTCATGGAGCAGTAAGTCTAAAGCAATCATCTTTTCCTTGCCTTTCCAAACAACTGCATTTCTCCCTTTTATGATGACAATTAATTATGTAAATTTAAGCTTAATGCATGATAACTTTGTCTTACTTTTATTACATTCTCTTTGGATAAAATTTCAGAAGAATTTTATAATTTTTCTTCTGACAATAAACTGTAAAAAAACTGATAGATTACTGTATATTGATATCAACAAGATTAAAGAAAGATTTTACCAACTATGCTTTGAGTCAAATGCTTTAATTTAGCTGTGGAGGCAAAATATGTAACTGAAAATAAATTAACATGTGGTAAATGTCAAATAGGTAATTAATGAACACTACAGATAATAAATTCTGGATTAGGGAACACTGGCTGGTAGATAATTAACTCAGGGATATATTATCAACTCAAACAACTATTCAGTGTCTCAACAGTATCTCTTAGACCTTTATCAATGGAAGCGGGGTGTCTGTATCCTCTAACCCTAAAGCCCACTTTTGGTACTTTTGTTAATACACGCACATGACTTTAGTAGTTCCGAAGATTTTTACCTATATCATTTTTACCCTTATAGTAACCTGTGGGGTAAGAGAACATAGTTTATCTTTTTTACTTTAGAGCTAAGGACCAGACACCATGACTTGAAGAGTTTTATGACTTTTGTAAATTTAGGTGTCTTGTAATTATGGAACCAGAACCCTAAAACAGGTCAGTTGACTTATCAAGCAGCAGTCTGCATATATACCCATGTCACTGCCTTTCTCTGTGTTTATCTATTGCTGATAAAGGAAATGACTACCAAAAGGTTTCAAAGTAAGAGAATATTTTAGAAAATTATATTTCAGGCCGGGCGCGGTGGCTCAAGCCTGTAATCCCAGCACTTTGGGAGGCCGAGACGGGCGGATCACGAGGTCAGGAGATCGAGACCATCCTGGCTAACACAGTGAAACCCCGTCTCTACTAAAAAATACAAAAAACTAGCCGGGCGCGGTGGCGGGCGCCTGTAGTCCCAGCTACTCGGAAGGCTGAGGCAGGAGAATGGCGTGAACCCGGGAGGCGGAGCTTGCAGTGAGCTGAGATCCGGCCACTGCACTCCAGCCTGGGCGGCAGAGCAAGACTCCGTCTCAAAAAAAAAAAAAAAAAAAGAAAATTATATTTCAAGTGATACTTTATTGTCCACTCTAGATCATTGTATCAGAACAGTTTAAAGCTGGAGAGACTTAGAAATGATCTAGTCTGAACTTTTTCTTGAATTTCTAGACCACTTACATAAGTACAGTCAGATTTTGACCTCCCTAGCCAATCTATCAAGGTAGGGCCCAGAATTCTTTGAGAATTTTCTACCCATTGGGGTGAATTCCTGGGACCCTAAATTTTCAGTTGGGGGGGGGTTCTGTGGTTTGGGGCTTCTGTCTGCTCTTTGGACAACCTCCTTCCCTAGGTCAGAAGTTTCCTTGATCATTGAGATTCCACAGAAATGTTATATGTGTTCAGCCTGTAGAAAGAATGGAAAAGAAGAATGAGAAAATGGGTCTCCAACCTGCCTAATTCCTGCTTGATCTTAGTTGCTGTTATCTGCCGATTCATTGAGCCTCCATGTGACAGTTTACTCAGGGGGAAAAGCAGTTCCACTACTGAAACAATTAAAAACGTGAAAGTAGTCACATAGGATAGATAAATCCATTACTCTAGACTTAAATCACTCTACAGTGGATCAGTAGCTCTTCCATGTGACAATGGCTACATAATTTTTCTAGGTCTCACTTTCTGCATCTTAAAACAGGTATTAAAAATAATTCCTAGCTCATAATGCCATTGCAAATATTAAGTGAGATGACACAGGTAAAATGCTTATAATGGTTACCAGCCTAACTAGTAGCTGTGTCATCATTGTTGTCTGTTATCAATCATTTTAGCTAATTAAGCCACCTGGTTTTAACCAGCAATGGTTTTGTCTTAAAGCTGCTGTATACAGATGATTTTATTACTTTAAGTTAGTGACAAATATCGAATACCAATATAAGAAAATCAGAGGAAAAAATGTATTAAAAAAGAAGGTCGGACAACCAGACAGGCTAGTGTTGACAAAGGATATCAAAAGGACAGAGACAGATTCTTATCCAACATTTTTGATATGCTAGAGGATATATTTGTTTATTTATTATTTAACATACTTGCCAGGTACAATGCCAGGTAATGGAGCTATTTCTGTGAGAAAACAAAATAGAACAAACACACACACAATTCTTCCTTCATGAGGCTTGCTCTCTACTGAGGACTATCACTCTAATTTCTTTCCATCTTTACACATTAGTCACTAACTGGGTACTTATCCAAAATGTGATTTTTGTTCTCTAAGAGATAACTGTGCTCTGTCTCCTTTACAGAAATATCCTTGATGTCCAACAAAAGCCATTAATCATGGATAGCAACTATTGAGGGCCTATTCCTAATAGGCTGTTTAGTTTTATGTGTTAGCTCATTTAACTTATTAATTTAGCAAGTATATATGTATATGTGAAATATATACATACACACATATTTCACACATATATACACACATATATATATTTCACATATATATACATTTCAAATATATATATACACACACACACATATATATATATATAATTTTTCTAGGCAGTCAAGAAAGAGTAGTGACAAAATAATCCCTGCCCTCATAGATCTTCTGAGGAGGAGACAGAAGATAAACAGATAAATACAGTATGTCAGAGAATGGTAAGAACTACAGAGAAAAATAACCCAGTAAAGACACATAAGGAGTATGTGTGGTGGGTTGGGAGTGGTTGCAGTATCAAGTAGGGTAGTCAACGTATGGCTCACAGAGTTCATGATATTTGAAGAAGACCTGATAATAGTAAAGAGGACAGTCATGTGGATATCTGGGGAAGAAGACTTCTAGCCTGAGTGAACAGTGAAGGCAAAGTTTCTTTAGTAGGAGGAAGTGTGGCGCATGGATGACCTGCAAGGAGGCCTGTGTGGCTAAAAGGCAATGACCACAGGGAAAGCACAGAAGATGAATGCTGAGAAGTAAAAGGGAATGAGAGAATATGTCAACGTTGTTTCTCACTTTGATGGGCATTTGAATCACCTGAGGCTCTTGGTAAACTGCAGATTGTGATTCAATGGCCCTGGGGTTGGTGCTGAGATTCAGCTGATGTTGCTGGTCTGCAGACCATCCTTTGAGTCATAAGGTTAAGACAAGTACAAGTATTTAGTTTGTCCTCTGAATGAGATGCGAAGTTGTGAGAAGGCTTTAAGCAGAGTGACATGATCTTACTTATATTTTTAAAGGATCACACTGACTGCTGCTTGGAGAATTGACTCTGGTGGGCAAGCTTGGAAGCAGGCAGACTATTTAGGAGGCTACTGTAAAATTTCCTACATCAAAGTCAAGAGTGCATCAGTCAGGATTTGAATGCAGGTCGGAACTAAAGCTAAAGCCCCTAATATGAAAGCATTTATAATATTAGTCCCAGATTTACATAATTACACCTTTGTCTCTTCTTCAACAGAGTTTAGGTACAGACCACATCCATAACTCTCATTTTACAACTAAGTCAATTAAAACCTAAACGTTAATTTTTTTAGAGTATCACAGATAGCAGTTAGTAACAAAAGTGGCACTTAGATAAGGTACCAGTTATTTGAAATCAAAATAATTATGATACTTGCAACAGTAACCTGTTGTCAGCAGGAACTGAGTTAAAATAATGAAAATTTTTCAAAATACTCCATGATCACCATCCGTACTTACTTCAATAGTCTTGAAGCATCATAACAGTCAATAGTTTCTCTGTAATTATTAACAAAATCAAATTATATTTACCATGATTTCAAAGGTAAATGTTTCATGTGTACTTAAGAATCGAAAACAGTCAACCTCATTGAGTGATTCTTAACCTACTATGGTCAGGGAACCTTTGATAAAATTATAAAACCTGTAACCCTCTTCTCTTAAGCATTCACATAAAAACATACATACAAAAATGTTCTTACATTTTCAGTGGGGTTCATCAACCCATTGAGGTGTAGACTGCACAAAACAGATTTAAGGTAACCTATTTATCAACTTGAGTATTTTAATAATGCAATACATCTTTTCTTTACTATGCTGAACAAACTGTTCTTTACTATTAATATGCCAGTGCATATTCCTATGAATACTAGCCTTTGGCCAAATAGTGCCTGAATAAAATGAGAATCAAGATGATACTGGGATGTTTTCTTACCAGATAGCTCTCCCCCAAGGGGTACAAAGAGTGTGGAGAATGTGGCATATGAAGGGTAATTTGAGTGCAAGAGTAGAACTGGGGGATTGTAGATTAGCATTATCACAGGCTGCCCACTAAGCAATGGCCCTTTATCCCAGCTGCTATCATAACCTTATAAACAGGGGAACGGGTGGAATTAGAAGTAACTTGTGGCCGGGCACGGTGGCTCACGCCTGTAATTCCAGCACTTTGGGAGACCGAGGTCAGGAGATCAAGACCATTCTGACTAACACGGTGAAACCCTGTCTGTACTAAAAATACAAAAAGTTAGCCGGGCATGGTGGTGGGTGCATGTAGTCTCAGATACTCGGGAGGCTGAGGCAGGAGAATGGCATGAACCCAGGAGGCGGAGCTTGCAGTGAGCAGTGATCCTGCCACTGCACTCCAGCCTGGGCGACAGAGCAAGACTCCATGTCTTTAAAAAAATAAAAAAATTAAAAAAAAAGTAACTTGTTGCTATACTAGTAACCAGCAGAGAAAAAGCAGAATATCATCAGGATAAAGGGTACAAAGTGTGTCATTTTCCATTCTCCAGAATCAGCCTTGTAATTCGACTACATTTACAACTTTAAAGTATGCTCATGGCAATACATTGTTTAATTATGGCTCTTTCTCTGACTCAGAAAAAATCATGCTTTTATCAAGTCGAATACTTTTTCACCTGGGGGGAGGTGATTTATAGTCATTAGTTTGCTTTAAGATGAGCCTCTATGAGTACTTTTTACTTTTATTTTGTGTCATTAATTGACTGGCTCAGGTATGGTGCAAAGCACGGGTGTCCAAATTTTGGCTTCCCTGGGCCACATTGGAAGAAGAAGAATTGTCTTGGGCCATACTTAAAATACACTAACAATAGTTGATGAGCTAAAAAGATTGCAGAAAAAAAAATTCATAATGTTTTTAGAAAGTTTATGAATTCATGTTGGGCTGCATTCAAGGCCATCTTGGGCCACATGCGGCCCACAGACCGCGGGTAGGACAAGCTTGGTGTCGAGTCTATGAGCTAGATCTTCTGGTTACCTCTTCAGCAAAATCTGCTGTTAAATGCTGGCTTGGTTTGGTGAATTAGATTCAGAGACAGCTGCAAGCTCAACCTGGCACCCTAACGATTCATAGAGTATACGTATAATATTCTTAGTATGATGTTAATGAGTCTATCATGAAGAAAACATTCTTCTTATACAGGTACAAATATGAAATATATTCTCCTTCCTCCAATTCTACTCTCAGCATCTCTCCATGTCTCCTAGAGTCAAGCAGTCAATTACCAGTTTCAGTGATGGAAAAATCAAAATCCAAAATAAGTAACGGTAAGATCATTTTTTTGACTTGACTAAGCAAGCTTTTTAAAAAAAGACTTTATATGTGCTTTAGGATGGACAAAAGTATCTATGATTTTTGCTTCCAAAAGCTTTACTACTTAAATTGAGATATCACAATGCCATAAAAATTCCTAGAATATAAAGCAATGTTTGATTAGATCCTAAGAAAATATACCAGATGATCAAATCTTTTGGAAAAAAAGGAGCATTAATTGACAGCGCCTGGGAAAATCTTTCAATGCTTCTGAATAAGTGGGTCTTGAAAGCAGGGTGAAACTAGTTTAGCACATACAACTCTCAATCCATTGCTCAGCTATGAAAGAAATAAAATTTTTCCCATAAGTCAATTTAATTTCTGTGTTCAGCTACTTTTTGTCAGAAGTACAAATGTAATTCTGACAAAAAATGTAATCTCAATTTGTCCCTAACCTCCCTTTTTGTCCCCAGGGTTTATTTACAATCTAGGGAGCTTACATAAGAGTAAAATGGACACCTGTCGGGGGAGCTCTTGGTGTTATCAGTTCCCTGCCAGCTTAGATATCTAAAACCCTTGTGGTCACAATATTTGGTCATACTTGTCACCATGGGCTATCTTATGTCCATGTTCATACTTTTTTTTCTCACAGCAGCTCTCTCTAGTACGGAAGTGGCCATCTTAGAAACATGGGAATAATTATATTTTTCACCTGAGCTAGGATGCAGGAATTTTATCAAAGCGTCTAGTGTTCTAGATGGCTGATGCATACGGCACAGCAATGCTTTGTCTGAGACACCCTTGGGAATATAGGGATACTCTCTTCTATATCACTGTCAACACCGGAAGTCCCGCGAGTCAAAGGCAGGAATCTGAACTAGACTGAAATAGAGTCTTGCCTCCTGCCTGGGCTTCACCTGGCCAAGGTAACACAGGTTTTCCTTACTCAGAGTAGCCATGAATTTATCCACAGGTGTTTACTGTGTCTCTAGGAGTCAGTACAGGCAGGGAGAGCAAATCCCCTCTTCTCCCTTCAGCTTCCCTTCAGCATCAATATGCTCCACACTCCTTCCCTGCCACCTCCCAATTTCACCCCCTACTCCTAACCGGAGGAACCACACTGTATACAGGTAGAATGGAAGCCTTTTTAAAATTAATATGTACCTGCGATCCATCCAAATCTCTTATCTATTCCACAAGACCTTTTCACTCCCCTAATATTCTCATTAGTACTTTCTGTTGAGATGTCTTTTTTTTCTGGGCAATGAACCCTGTCTGTTTGAATGAAGGGAGGGGACAAAGGACTAAAAACATATGGAAATGTGGAAGGAGAAGGAAGGCAAGAGCACAGAAATGTAAAAAATTTACCCTCTCCTGCTGTATCAAAAGAAAGAACGCATTCTAGACAAAGAGGAGAATAGGAAAGGGGGTAATAGATATGTTCAGGAGGATGCATTCAAATCAATGGACAAGAACAGCATCCTTGTTTATGTAAAAATGTAACGGATAATAAATATGGCTTAGGTTCAAATAAGAAGGCAGGGAGCTGACTTAAGGGCTTGCAGTTTCATCTGTATACAATGTACAGTCAGGGAAGGTGGTTTGTTTTGAAAGAGACATGATATAATGACAGCACAACTAGTTAGGAAATAGTTAAACCTGTAATGTAAAAAGGTGAAAGGTGAAACAGAGACTCAGTAATTAAAATGTTTTTAATAAAAGGACAAGTTAGCGGACAGATACAGAGAAAAACAGACAATTATTTTCTTTCCTTCAGGTGAGGTCCTGTTCCCTTAACGTCTGTTTCCTTAAGCATAGTGGACACAAGGCTCACCCTAAAGCTGATAATAAGGATCTTCTCAAAAGTGCTCCACATACAATCTTCATCTCCCCTACAACACTCTACAGCAGAGCTGTCCACAGAACTATCTGTGATAATGGGAATGTCTTATATCTTTGCTGTCCAGTACAGTAGCCCCTAGCTGCAGGTGACTGTTGGCTATTTGAAATATAGCTAGTGTGACAGAAAAACTGAATTTTAATTTTATTTAATTTCAATTTTAAGAGCCACGTGTGGCTTATGGTTACTGTATTAAAAAGCACACGCCTAAGATGTCTACACTTCTCTACTACAAGACTCTCCTACCAACAAGCTTCTTAGAATTATACAATTGCTAGGGCTAGAATATACATTAGAGTTAATTTTAGAAAACGAATTCATAAAGTATTTTTGGAAGCAGAAAAGAAATCCAGACAAGTGAAAATTCCATGGTCATTTGAACTTTTCTAGAAGAAGCAGAGTCAGATAGAATCCACATGAGTGCAAAGGAGTCTTTTCTGTTAATTATGCAGTCTGATTCACTTGCCCAAAGGTGTTCACCTTGGATCTTGGCATAATCTATTCTTCACAGCCAAAAATTACTTTAAGAGTTATTAACAGGTAAAGATAACTCCTACTTCATAGGATTGTTAGGAAGATTCAATTAAAAAATGCCTGCAAACCAGTTAGTTCAGCACGTGGCAGAGAAAGAACATTCAGCAGTGATGATTGTTGGAGGTTGTTAACATTATCAATTTTATTAAAACACCTAAACCTTCAAAGCTATGTTTCATTTATGATATGAGGGTAATTATCCTAGTGCACATGATCATATTAAGACATGAGTTTTACAAAAGCATTTAAAAATGGTTAGCATTGAATTTTACTCTAAAAATGCTGTCAAAACGTTTTTGTTGGAATAACTATACTGCTAAAGTATAGGGATTTATCATTTTTATGTAAATTTGTTTCTAGAGTCCTAAAAATGGTTATTCACTAACAAACAAATATAAATGTAGGCAATACTGCCCAAATGTTGGAATATCAACCATATAAAAATTCGAATTTCAGATAAAACTGAGTGAACGATAAGATTACTAGTGATTTCTGCTGAAAAACAGAACTAAAAATTAAGGTGAGAAAGACTTTGTTCCAAATTCTCTGTTTTGCGCCAGATAGATATTGAATGTCATTGTAGTGTGGGAACTCAGATAGCTCAGGGCAGGAATGAAATGGAAAGGAGAGATAAAAAGTAAAGGGATGAGGAGCAAGAAGCAATAGAGTTCCTCGGTGAAGTCTCTCGGAGATTTACTCTGCCTAAAAGGTTGAAGATATAAAACATTTTTAGAACTTGACCAAACTCCCATCAAATTATGACTATTGCACAAAAACTCCTGCGTTCTAGTTCAGTTTAAGATATATTGTAGAAATGTAGAAATGCAGAATAAATATTTAATTTTTATAGTGATCTATTTTCAATCCTCCGGTTTGCCTTTCTTTCAAGAATGTGAAGTGGACACTAGCTCTTCCATGTGGATTTATGTTTTCCTGGGCAATCTTCTTCGCGGAATAGGAGAAACTCCCATTCAGCCTCTGGGCATTGCCTACCTTGATGATTTTGCCAGTGAAGACAATGCAGCTTTCTATATTGGTAATACTGACATATTGCTTCACTTAGCTTCTTGGGAAGAAGGGTGTCTGGTGTTCTGAATTCCACTCTATGCTAGATTAAATGTGGAAGCTTTATATACTTCATATCCAACTCCTTTGTTTAGCTCACACATTTCTGAAGTGCACACTTAAGATTTGGATGATGAAGACACCATAGTTAGAGGGATCTATTGCATTAGAAAGGGAGCATCAGATTAAAAGAAAATAACTGTGAGCTCAACTGCAATGATGTAGGACCTTGTGAAGCTTCGTGGGCTTCAGGTTTCATAGGTGATTTTTAGTGGGTTAACTATACAGCTAAAGCATTTAGGTATTTTAGTTTACTTAAAAGTTTGTTTCTTGAGCCCTAGAAACTGCTTTCCATTTGATGAGCCCTAATTATTTTAAGCTATGAGGGATAGACAACGAGAAATCTTGAGATCTCAAAAGCAGGTAGAAATGGATAAAGAGAATTATTAAAAAAAAAAAAATAGAAGCAAGGCATGAGGCTACCTCATCTCTGGAACACATTCCAGTAAATAGACCAGTAACTAAAAATCTCAAAAACCAAAATAATATAGCAGAGGCAAACTCCTAAGGTAAGATGCATCTGCACAGCATTTTTTGGTTTCCTCTGATGTCTTAATATGAAGCTAGAAACACATGTCAGTCTCTTCTTTTTAAATTTTTATTGTACCCTTTCCTACGGTGTTGACACACATCAGTCTTGATTTCTTGAAATTCTGATCTTTTAAAGATCTCACGTTCAGGGACAGAAAGGCAAGATTTAAATTCATTGAGGGGATGCTACAGCTAGGTCCACTGTATAATCTTGCCTGGGCTATGCTCTGCAGGACTCCAAGGGGTGCTGGTTACACCCAGATAGACTATAGTTAAGATCACAGCTCTTATTCTAACAGAAAACTCCAGTAAAATCAGGAACTGGAACTGCAACAAACACTTCATCACCTGCACTAGGCAATTACTCTGGAGACTGGAGGAAAGGTCACAGCCAGGAGAAGCATACAGGTGCGTAGGTGTCCCCTTCTTCTCTAGGAACTCAGGGCTTGTTCTCTTTTCCCTCTGGTAAAAAGTATCTAGTAACTGCTGTTTACTCTTCCAGTTAACTTAATCTCCCATGAATATGTGTGTTTTAAACCTTGTGGTGAAATGAAAGACAGATTGGAGATGTTTGGAAGGGAAGAAGTACCTTTCTGGTTATTAGAAATGGTGTCCTTTAGGCCATCTGTTCCACCTATCTATGAAGGTTGACCTGAATGGTCAAGAGGGTTCCAGAGAGCACTTTTCCTGCTCCAAATCCTAGTACCTTTGTTAGCTGGTCTGGGGATCTGCATAGGTCCTGCTCTCACTAATGATCCCACAGAACCTCGGAGTGAATGGATGCAATTTTTTTACTAAGATGGAAGAAATCCTTTTGAATGTCAAGACAAGTCTTATGCTTAACTGAATGTAAAATGTTTTTGACAAACTATCAAAATTAATACAATTCCAATTTTTATCAATGGGCAATCTAATCCTAGGAAATACAGTTTGTTCCATTTTGGAAAGTTAACTTCCTCAGAGTATTAATGTTATTTTCTTACTAAGACATACTTAATGCCTTAAAATTGTTCATTCTTCTCCCAAAGCAGTGAAGGATTATTTTCTGATTCACTGTGGTTTTAAAGTTGACTAAACACATGCAAATGAGCTAAAACATTTTGAGCTACTGACTGGATCTCACATTTCTTGTTTAAAATTGTATTAATTTATCAAAGTAAAGAAATGACAGCTTTTTTCTTCCTTTTCTTTTATTGGTGCAGGGTGTGTGCAGACGGTTGCAATTATAGGACCAATTTTTGGTTTCCTGCTAGGCTCATTATGTGCCAAACTATATGTTGACATTGGCTTTGTAAACCTAGGTAAGGGAGTTTATTTTTTATTTATTCATTTATTTTAGTTACTGTAACTTTTTAATGGGAACGGTGTGGAAATTATCAAATTGCCTTTTTATAAAATGGCAGTCATAATCTTCCATAAACTAAAAATTTATTATTAATATAGTTACACAGATTAATAAATGGAATACGAAAAATAGGTGATGATTAGAACTGGATGACCAATGATTTGTTATTAAGATGTATCCTTTTTCACATCTGATTTGTCAGTTTAAATGCATTCCAGCATAGTTAAGACTGAAAACTCTAGCTACTTGTTCGTTCTTGTTGGCTTCAGGTGTGTCAACATTTATTACAGTTACGTCAATTAATAATGTGTTTGGGGACTTGACAGAAAGACCAAGGATTTAAAGTCTACTGGCAACCAAACAGCCCTTCTTTTTGTTTTTACTCTACAAGTCATTTTTAGGTGGAAACATATTATAGCATATTATCGAGCAAGACTGGCTTTTCTTCTGGGATATTGCTTGTGTAGGAAATAAATGGCAGAAGGGACACTGATCTTTTCATAGCTAATAATTTGTTTCTATCTCTGTGAGATGCACCCTCTAGAAATAGGTGGCACTTGTCAGTTTTTTTTAAAGAATTCCAAGAGATCCGTTACAAACTAAACAAGTTTCACTTAAAAAACAAATGTGGAATTGCATTTTGAAGTTTCGCATGTTAAAACAGAAAGCAAAATTCTTGCATTTAAATCAAATAAACTACAAGGCAAGCTTCAAAAATGTTATTTACTCATTCATTAGTTCCCGTCCAATTATTTTGCATTTACTTTATGCCAGGTGCTATTCTACAGCTCTGAACAAATCAGTTGAGTTCCTTGACTTCACAAAGTTTAAAATCCACTGATGGATTTTAAAGACAAGAAAGTATAGATGCAATGAGCAGCACAGAGGAAAATTGTTAAGGGGAAGCAATTCACATGCAGTAATAACCTAGTATAAGCATTTTATCCAGTATAATTCAGTGGCAGTTGAGCCTACTTCTCAAGGGACCTGTGTTTATTTTGTTCTCACAGAATGTTATGATAGAATATAATGAAATGTTTTCTAGGTTCTTGCCTAGGAAGAAAACAACACCCACTTGCTTTGATTCAAAAACCTGTCAATACTTATTTTTAGGCAAATCAGAAATGATTTCAAAAACAAAGTTTTTACGACGAATAAAATACTAAAGTTTTGGTTACACATACAAATACCGCTTCGTATCCAGAATAGCTCTGAAGTAGTATTAACCACCATTTATTAAAAAATATTCCACTGATTTGAATGAATCTCAAATTTAGTATCATACTGAGAGGTTTCCACGGGGTTTGGACTGGAGGGTGCAGGGCATAACTCTTCGAGTAAAATCTCACACAGATATTCAATATGCACATCAAATGAAAGTGGTGCTGATATAGAGGAGTCACCACATGAGGTTTTGAGCCTTCAAAGTTCTCCCCATGGGTTGCCTTCCTTTTACCAGGGGTCTCTCTGCAGAACCTGAGAGCACGGTTTGAAAATCATGAGGCAGGCCGGGCGCGGTGGCTCAAGCCTGTAATCCCAGCACTTTGGGAGGCCGAGGCGGGCGGATCACAAGGTCAGGAGATCGAGAACATCCTGGCTAACACGGTGAAACCCCATCTCTACTAAAAATACAAAAAAATTAGCCGGGCGTGGTGGCGGGCGCCTGTAGTCCCAGCTACCCGGGAGGCTGAGCCAGGAGAATGGTGTGAACCCGGGAGGTGGAGCTTACAGTGAGTGGAGATGGCGCCACTGCACTCCAGCCTGGGCGACAGAGCGAGACTCCGTCTCAAAAAAGAAAAAAAGAAAATCATAAGGCCTCTTCCAGAATTTAGACTCTTTATTTTTAATCTAATGAACAAAAGAAAGTATCTTGCTCCAAAAAGCACTCTCTTTCCTTCAATAACAGAGATAATACAGACATAGCTTGTTTTACTGTGCTTTACTTTATGGCATTTTGCAAATACAATAAAGTAAATTTAAGGTTTGTGGCAACCCTGTGTTGAGCAAGTCTATAGGCACCATTTTTCCAACAGCATGTGTTTACTTTGTGTCTCCGTGTCACATTTTGGTAATTCTCCTACTATCGCAAACTTTTATTGTTATTTTTTATTATTATTATTATTATTATTATCATCATCATCATCATCATCATCATCATCATCATCATACCCGTTATGGAGATCTGTGATGTGTGATATTTGATGTTACTGTTGTAATTGTTTTGGGGCACCACAATTGTGCCCATATAAGACAGCAAATTTAATTGATAAATGTTGCATGTGTTCTGACTGCTCCACTGGCCATTCCCCTGTCTCTCTTTTTGGACTTCCCTATGCCCTGAGACACAATAATATTGAAATTAGGCCAATTAGTAACCCTACAATGACCTCTAGGTGTTCAAGTGAAAGGAAGAGTTGCATGTCTCTCACTTTAAAACAAAAACTGGAAAAGATTAGGCTTAATGAGGACGGTATGTTGAATGCCAAGACAGACAAAAATCTAGGCCTCTTGCACCAAACAGTTACCCAAGTTGTGAATGTAAATTCTGGCAGGAAATTACAAAAGTGATACTCCAGCAAACACATGAAGGATAAGAAAGTGAAACAGCCTTATTGAGATAAAGTTTTAGTAGTCTGGAGAGAGGATTAAACCAGCCACAACATTCCCTTAAGCCAAAACCTAATTCAGAACAAGGCCTAACCCTCTTTAATTCTATGAAGGCTGAGAGAGATGAGGAAGCTGCAGAAGAAAAGTTTGAAGCTGGCGGAGATAGGTTCATGAGGTTTTAGGAAAGAAGCTGTCTCCGTAACACAAAAGTGCAAGGTGAAACAGCAAGTGCTGGTGGAGAAGCTGCAGAAAGTTACCCAGAATATTTAACTAGGATTATTGATGAAAGTGGCCATGCTAAATAACAGATTTTCATCCTAGATGAAATAGGCTTCTACTGGAAGAAGATGCCATCTAGGGCTTTCACAGCCATAGGGGAGAAGTCAATCCTGACTTTAAAGCTTCAAAGGGCAGGGTGATTCTCTTGTTGGGGGGCTAAGGCCACTGGTGACTTTAAGTTGAAGCCAATGCTCATTTAACACTCTGAAATTCCTACACATACACTTCCTGTGCTCTACAACTAGATCAATAAAAATGTGCTGAATGACAGCACATCTTTTTGTAGCATAGTTTACTAACTATTTGAAGCCCACTGTTGAGATCTACTGCTCAGAATAAAAACAAGATTGCTTTCAAAATATTGCTGCTCATTGACAATGTGCCTAGCCACCCAAGAGCTCTGACAGAGTTGTACAAATAGATACATATTTTCATGGCTGCTAACATACCATCCATTTTCTACCCCATGGATCAAGGAGTAATTTTGACTTTCAAGTCTTATTATTTAAGAAACATATTTCACAAAGCCATAGCTACAATCAATAGTGATTTCTAATGAATCTAGACAAACTAAATTTAAAAACTTCTGGAAAGGATTCACCATTTTAGATGCCATTAAAAGCATTTGTAATTCATAGGAGGAGGTCAAAATATCCACATTAGCAAGAGTGTGAGAGTAATTGATTTCAACCCTCCTGGATGACTTTGAGGTGTTTAACACTTTAGTGGAGAAAGTAAGTGCATATGTGGTAGAAATAGCAAGACAACTATAATTAGAAATGAAGCTTGAAGATGTGACTGAATTGCTACAATCTCGTGATAAAGCTTGAACAGATGAGGGGTTGCTTCTTGTGGATGAGCAAAGTGAATGGCTTCTTGAGGTGGAATCCACTCCTGATGAAGATGCTGTGTACGTTACTGAAATGACAACAAAAGATTTAGTAAATTACAGAAACTTAGTTGATAAAGCAGTGACAGGGTTTGAGAGGACTGACTCCAATTCTGAAAGATGTTTGACTGTGGGTAAAATGCTATCAAATAGCATTGCATACTACAGAGAAAACTTTCATGAAGGAAAGAGTTGATCTATGTGACAAACTTCATCATTTCCTTATATTCATACATTGCCACAGTAATCTCAACCTCCAACAACCACTGCCCTCTTTAGTCAGCAGCCATCAACATTGAGATGGCTACTCACTGAAGGCTCAAATGATCATTAGCATTTTTTAGCAATAATATTTTAAATGAAGGTATGTACATTTTTCAGACATAATGCTATTGCATACTTAGTAGACTACAGTATAATTAAACACAACTTTTGTATGCCCTGGGAAACAAAAAAATTCATGTGACTCTCTATTGTGAGATTCACTTCATTGTGATGGTCTGGAGTTGAACCTGCAAAATCTCCAAGGTATGCCTGTGATAATATCCAGATCAAAAAAAAAATAGCATAGATGAATTATTAGGTATTTTTATGATGTTATAGAGTTTTGCAATAATTTATTTTTAAGTAGATTATTTTAACATATTAGCTTTGCTGTTTGTATTACTTAGCCATCTCCTCTGTCTTTCAGATCACATAACCATTACCCCAAAAGATCCCCAGTGGGTAGGAGCCTGGTGGCTTGGCTATCTAATTGCAGGAATCATAAGTCTTCTTGCAGCTGTGCCTTTCTGGTATTTACCAAAGAGTTTACCAAGATCCCAAAGTAGAGAGGATTCTAATTCTTCCTCTGAGAAATCCAAGTTTATTAGAGATGATCACACAGACTACCAAACACCCCAGGGAGAAAATGTAAAAATAATGGAAATGGCAAGAGGTAAGTAAAATTCTCGATTTTGAAGTATTTTCATTTTTCTGTTGGGACTTAAGGAGATTTATAAATTATATCCTTCACTTCCCTTCATGTATTAAAAAAATTGAGAAACCATATCAGAAGCAAAACTGGAAAATGATGTCAGCTTTATTACTGAACAACTGATTGCAGTACACGACCAAAGACCAAAGGCTTGACAGCCTTTCCTGCTGATGTCCGCACCCTCTCACATCTCCTCAGTTTAGATCCTACAGTTGTCTGTAGGATTGCTGCTTCCTGTAACTCTGTGTATACAGAAAATAAAAGGCTTAATCTTCAGGGTTGGCAGCCTTTCTACAGATAAGATCTATTCATTTGAGAGATGTATATCAATGCATGTCTCTCACCAATGATCAGAGGGGTGAGTGTTCTGTAGGCAAAAACCCAGTGTTCTAATGAACCCCCTTCATGGAAATGAGGAGCCTCTCTTCATGTCCCTTCAAGCAATAGTTACATTTGCAGAAATTCTTCACATGTCTAATTGGTAGTCTACATAACAGGAAAAAGGGAAAAGATCAATGCTAAAATTCACATATTAAATGGAGATAACTCTCATATTTCTTTCTCTTTGACCACAAGATAAGTTTGAGGAATAGAGACAAGAAAAGTGAAGGTCTTTATGTCCTGCCTGTGACTCCCAGCTGGATGATGAGGGAGTATTCTCATCCTTTTCATCTTTTGCCCACATCAGTTGGAGGAATCTTCTTTTCTGACTCTTACCTTTTAATATAACCTATACTGCACGTCTGTAGAAATGAGTGCCTATGTCTGGATTTGAACCTAGCCAGATCGCAGGCTTGATGCATGCCAGTGGCTTACTATACATAATGTATGTGTGTGCCAAACTATGACTACTTCCAAACTCTGTGACAATGGAAAGTCCTGCCACCACAGCTACCTCTTCTTCCATGCATGACAGCAACTTTAATTAGTCTGTTATTTTTGTTTTACAGATTTTCTTCCATCACTGAAGAATCTTTTCGGAAATCCAGTATACTTCCTCTATTTATGTACAAGCACTGTTCAGTTCAATTCTCTGTTCGGCATGGTGACGTACAAACCAAAGTACATTGAGCAGCAGTATGGACAGTCATCCTCCAGGGCCAACTTTGTGATCGGTAGGCTCATCTGCCTTTCATGCTTCCTCAGAGGGACTCTCTTAGATGTACCTGATTAACTCGGGAATCTTAGAGAAGATCGTTCCAAGATTTAGGTCATTTATGACATTTTAGATGAGCTCAAAAAGTAGCAATAATTTTGTAGCAAGAATTATTCGCATCTGTGGGTAAGTAACCCAGAGAGCACGCAGTTCTTGAAGTGATATCATAGAGATGAAACATGCATTTTATGAGGAATTTGTTAATAATACTGGATATTTGTCTTTTAAGTGTAGTGAAAGCCTCAAAACAGTGACCATTTTACATGAACAGTTTCCAGGATTATATAAAATGGACAATGAGATAGGTTAAAAGATGTTCATTCCAAAACAAAGCTTGCATTTTCACAGTCAAAAAACTTTTCTGACTCCTGGCAACTGGGTTAGTTCAAAGGGTTGTGTTTCTAGCAACATGGTCAATAAAAAGATAGAAAAGTATGAAGAAATGAAAGAAGAGAAACCAGAACCTACAAATACATGATGACTACCACTGTGGAAGTAATTAGATATTTAAAAAAAATCTAGATTCATTTCTTTAATCCACAAAGATATTATTTAATGTTACTATTTCAAGGCATAAAATATTTTGTTTCTTGGGACATACTCCTTTATGATAAGAGACTCCAGTGGTATAAAATAATTTTCTCTTAGTATTGTAAAAAATCACTCTATATTTCTACCTCTGAAAGAGACCTGGAAGGAGAAAAAAAAAAAAACAACAGCCAAATGTATTTTAGGAGATATAATTTTTCTATGATAATCTTGGTAATGGGCACATAGCACATGCTAATATAATTGACTCTTAGTTTAAAAGATTTTTCTCCAAAATTCTTGATGTTAAGGTTACATCACTGAACATCTTTACTTTTAACATCAATTGGTTCAAATTAATTTTATTTCTTATTGGCTTATTTATTACTAATTTTATTACTAAAGAAATATTTTGTGGCTTTTTTCTCCAATACCCCATGCATGCTAATCAATGCTTTATATTGATTTCAACATGAATAGATGAGGATTTAAAGTTTAAGAGAGACTTTATTTTATTTCATTTTTATGTGTATACTGAGATATAACTTATCAAGAGTAAGTCTACAGACCTTAAACAGTTCAGATGGATACATATATATGTGTGTGTGTGTATATATATGTGTGTGTGTGTCACATCCAGCATTCAGAATATATAGAATATTTTAGCTCCCCAGAAAACTTAAATCTCCTACCAGTCAATACTTTTCCCCAAAGCTAATAACTATCCTAAACTATATTATCATAGACCATCCTTGCCTGTTTTCGAAATTCATATAAATTAAATGGTATATTATATACTCTTTTGTGTCTAGCTTTTTTCAACTGAAGTGAAATCTATGAGATTATTTTCTCTTGTGTATAGCAGTGGTATATTCTTTTTCATGCTATGTCATATCCTATTACATAAATAAACCACAGTTTGTTTATTCATTTTATAGTTGATGGACATTTCTGTTGTTTTCTGCTTTTAACTAATAGTTATTTATAATATTATAATATATAATATAATAATATAAATAATATACAATTTTATATATTATGAAAATTATATATACATTTATAATAGCATTAGAAATTATGATTTTATATGTATATGTATAGATTATATTATAAATTTATGATAGTATTATAAATGATTACATTATAAAATATATATTTAAACCATGTAATATATATAATTATGTAATATTTATTAATTATATATTGTATATATTATATGTTATAAAATATAATAATAAATTATATAAAATAAATATATACAACATGACCTATAACTATTGTATATAATATATAAAATAATTATTATAATTGTTTTTATAATTATTATAGCTATTTTTATAACAGTTATTTATAATAGTATTATAAATCATATAATTATTATTTATAATAGTATTTTAAATATAAATGTGAAAAAATACAAATAAAAATATTATGTATTTTAATATGTTAATATAATATATAAAATATTATTTATAATTTATTATAGCATATTACACTATATAATAAGATAGTATTATATACTATATTATAATTTATATTATATTATATATAATATATATAATGTAATATATAAATATATGGTAATACTATAGTAATATAGTAATAATATATGGTATTACATATAGTATATTACATATACTATAATGTATAATAATAATGCTATTATAAATAATATATTTATAATAGTTAAAAGCAGAAAACAACATTCCGCATGTTTATTGGTGGACCACTATGCTCATTTTTCATGGCTATACCCTGAAGTGCAATGGACATTTGTGTTGTTTTCTGCTTTTAGCTAAGAGTTATTTATAGTATTATAATAGATAATATAATATATATAATATACATTATATTGCTAAATGCAGTTGCTAAGTCAGAGGGAGAATATGTGTTTAAATAGAGTAGATATTGCCAAAACACAAGGAAGTTGTGCAAATTTATACTCCTATTAGAAATGTAAGAGCATTCCAGTTGCCCCATATCCTTATCAACACTTGGAATTGTTAATTCTTTTCCTTGTAACCATTCTTATGGGTGGGTTGTGGTATTTCATGGTGGTTTAATTTGCATTTACCTAAAACTCTATTCTTCAAAGTTTCTGACATGTCATGTCTACAGATAATTCAAATACTTTTGTGAGAGATAAGTAATAGTATTTAACAATTTCACATCATTATAGCTAGGATTGTTCCTGAGATCATCTTGGTTTCACATTAGTAAGTATGGGGTGCAGCCGACTAAGGGTAAGCGGGCCAATTATTCAATATCCTCTCACTCTTACTTTGATTATATTTGTACAATGGTGAAAATGAATATATCACTAGGTTGAAATAAAGATGAAAGTATACAGATAAAATGCATGGTAAATGCATATATCTCTCATTCAATAAATATTATTTCTGTCTTTCTTCTTCAACCTTTCTCTTTTTTTCTTAATTTTTTTTTTAACTTGAGCTATGGAATAATGATCTTCCTGCAATAAAATATGAGACAGACACAAAGAAGCATACTTCCTTACTTCTTTGAGAGAAGACATTTGACATACCATGGAGGGGAGAATAAACAGAAATCTCCTGACATGTTCAAGGGCCAACAGTTACAACGACAACTTAGCCTTGCTGTACATGTTTTTAAATGTTAGCCACATTCTTTCTAAAGTTTAGAGACAGCATTTTTTCTCATGCTAATTACTTTAACTTTGTAGAAAAAATATTAAAGGAAAATAAATGACAATAAAATTTAAATTCAAAGGCTGGGAAGCATATTGTGAAATGATTTGGCTTTTTAAAGTTTGTGGAATTTTTAAAAGATTTTTAATGGAAGACATTTGGATAGACAGCTAGATTTGCATTTTTTCTTTTGTCATTTATTTATTTATTTTTATTTTTCAACTTTCATTTTGGAATAGGGAGTACATGTACAGTGCAGGTTTGTTACAAAGCTATATTGCATAATGCTGAGGTTTAGGGTATGACTGAACCTGTCGCCCAGGTAGTGAGCATGGGTAACTTTTCAATCTTTCTCTTCTCCTTTCTTTCCCTCTCTAGTAGTTCCCAGTGTCTATTGTTCCCAACTTTATGTCCATGTGTGTTCAATATTTAGCTCCCATTGATATGTGAGAACATGTAGTATTTGGTTTTCTGTTTCTGAGTTAGTTCACTTAGGATAATGGCCTCCAGCTCCATCTGTGTTGCTGCAAAGGGCATGATTTCATTCTTTCTATGATTGCATAATATTCCGTGGTGTATATGTACCACATTTTCTTTATTCAATCCATTGTTGATGGGTGACTGATCCCACATTTTTGTTCTTGTGAATAGAGCTGTGATGAACATATGGGTGCATGTGTCCTTTTGATAGAATACTTTATTTGCTTTTCGACTTATACCCACTGATGGATTGCTAGGTCAAATGTTAGTTCAACTCTTAGTTATTTGAGAAATATCCAAACTGCTCTCCAAAATAGTGGACTGATTTACATTCCCACCAAAAATTGTGCAAGTATTCCCTTTTGTCCTCAGCCTCACCAACATCTGTTATTTTTTGACTTTTTAACAAAAGCCATTTTGACTGGTGTGAGATGGTTTCTCATTGTGGTTTTTATTTGCATTTCTGTGATGATTATTTCTGAGAGCATTTCTTCATATCTCTGTTGGCTGCTTAAATGTTTTTTTGTTTGTTTGTTTGTTTGTTTTTGGGTTTGTTTGTTTGTTTGTTTTTGAGACGGAGTCTCTCTCTCTCTATTGCTCAGGCTGGAGTGCAGTGGCCCGATCTCAGCTCATTGCAAGCTCCGACTCCCGGGCTCACACCATTCTCCTGCCTCAGCCTCCCGAGTAGCTGGGACTACAGGCGCCCGCCACCACGCCCGGCTGATTTTTTGTATTTTTAGTAGAGACGGGGTTTCACCGTGTTAGCCAGGATGGTGTCAATCTCCTGACCTCATGATCCGCCCGCCTCGACTCCCCAAAGTGCTGGGATTACAGGCATGAGCCACCACACCCAGCTACATATTTTCTTTTGTGAAGTGGCTGTACTTGTCCGTTGTCTATTTCTTAATTGAGTTATATGCTATTTTCTTGTTGTTTTAAGTCTGGATATTAGATCTTCATCAAATGCATAGTTCATGAATATTTTCTCCCATTCTGTAGAATTTCTGTTTACTTCCTTGATGGTGTCTCTTGCTGTGCAAGCTCTTTAGTTTAATTAACTTACCAATTTTTGGTTTTGTTGCAGTTGCTTTTGAGGACAAAGACATAAATTGTTTGCCAAGTGTGATACTGAGAAGGGTATTTACTAGGCTTTCTTCAGGATTTTTATAGTTTAGATTCTTACCCATAAGTCTTTAATCCATGTTGAGTTAATTTTTATATATGATGATAAGAAGGGGTCCAGTTTCATTCTTTTGCATATGACTAGCCAGTTATCACAGTACCATTTATTGAACACAGAGTCCTTTTTCCATTTCTTGTTTTTGTCAGCGTTATTGAAGATGAAATGGTTGTAGATGTGTGGCTTTATTTCAATTTAAGCTTCTCCTATAAATATTAAGTTACATACAAATGATCTTATCTTTTCCTTCTCAATACAAAGACTGTAATAATTTAGTAATTTTTGCTTAATTTCTTAGAATGCCTTTTGTAGACCTCTAGTAGACAAGATATATCAACTATCATTTATGACAATGATTATCACTGTCAATTTTTGGAGGTGTTACACAGACAAGTAAGAAAAAATTAAGATAATTATTTGAAGGACAGTTGCTTATAAAAAACATTATTATTATTCTTGTGAAAGTCCAGGATATAACATCAAGTTTACTAGGAGAAAAATTCTAAAACATCTCCAAGTACTATTATTATAACTCATAACTATTTCAATCCAAGGCATCGGTATGGAAATCAAAGTTTCTAATTCCTAGTCTACTATAATCTAGTCAAACATTTTACATATCCCTTATAACTCCTTTTTACATCAGTCTCAAGGAATAAGATCTTTAACCTAATGAGTGTGCTAAAACACTAATAATTATGTAATAAAATATAACAATATAATAATAAATGCGCTTTTAAATTTCTCTAAGTTTTTCTGATATTTGGGTAAATATGCATGTTGAATTCAAAAGAAAACACAGAAAATAAATTGAAACAAATTTCAGACACTAGTGTAAATCAATATTTCCATTTGGAATACTTCCTTGATGGTAGATGGTAAAAATTTTTAGATCAACACATTTTATGATGTGGGTGGAGAATAAATCAAAGTTTAATTTCTATCTCACTAAATGATTTAAAAATACCTAAAATGAAAGAGAAGCCTGGGGAGGGAAGAAACACATCTTATATGATGTAAAGGAAATTTGTCATCAACTTGACCCACCATGGACAACTTAATACATCCTGTGAAATTTGAAAGGGAGAATCAAACCAACATTATATTTGAAATGTACTAATATTTTTTGGAATTGTATTATAATTTAGTTATCTTGAAATAGGAGAGTAAGATATCAGGAGAAGTGCTATAAATTAATACACTAAGGTTTATTCATTTAGCACATTTTATTGGAAACCGTTGAAGAACATGGGATTCAATTCAATTCACCGTTCTTTCTTTGAGGGTTTGGTTGGAGGTTGGGATACATGAATTGAAAAAACTAGCAGGTAATTGTTAAAGCATCAAGTCTGCTGCCTCTGGGCCCCTGCACAAGGAACACCTGATGAGTGAGAAAATGAGGTTCTGATGACCAAGTTGTGAGTCCTGGTGCCAAATGTGTCCCCTGGAAGCCCCATATGACTGGTGGAACCTGTGAGGAGGAACTCTACTTGGGGGAAGCTCAGAGTACTCTGGGAGAACAAACCTAATCTTGGAGCCAGGAAGAATTCTCAAGCAGAAGATGATGATACCTGAATCAAGAGAAAAGGATAAGAAAGTATTAAAAGATGAAAATGTGAGAAAGAGGGTAGAGGTTTTTATCAAAGCAAATATCTTGTGCGGAAGGATCTGGAGTCAAGAAATATTCTGGAAGTTTCAAGGAAACACTGTTCACCAAAAAGAGGTAAATCAGGAAAGGATATTCCTGATTTTTAATAATTTATACTGAGGGTGCAGATGTCCCCAGGATTATCTCATTTCAGTTCTCAGGCTATTCTAGGCTGCTGGGGGTGGGGGATGTCAATGGAATCCAACATGGCACATAGCTACAGACAAGGCTACACCTTGTGTTATTACTCCTTAAGTACCAGATTCAATTGGTACCTTACAAAATAAAATAAAATGCTAGAAAGATGCTCTGAAGGTTTCAGTTCGGAGTTTGGTTTTCAGAAGATACTTTTTTCATAAACCAATTTGGAGATGGAATTGAGAGTGAAAATGTAGGACTCTGTTGTTTGTGTCAGCTTTGGCTTTGTGGAAGGCATTCATTGTCAGGTACTATGTTTTATATATTCATTGCATGTATATGTGTGTGTAAAAGTAGGCACTTCAAGGATATATATCAAATTCATAGCAGCACTTACTTCGGGAGAAGGAAGTTGAAACCTGAAACAAAGGGAAAACTAATTTTATCTACTTCCACATTTTAAAAAATCAGAAAATTTAGGAGAAAACATTAACATTAATTAATTGGGCCCTAAATAACTGGGTTTGTTGATATATTTTCTATAATCTATTCATTGTTTTTAAAATAGTAATCAGGTGCCTCTAAGTTGACTTTTGGCTGTTCAGGTTTCCAGATTTTCATCTCTGCTGCTTACCATACCCAGGAACTTCAGTTCAGATGGAAAAGCAAAAGTTAGCATTTCTTCTCTTTTTCATTTCGCTAACTTCATGATCATGCCCCCTTTAAGGTGGGCTGATTTCTAATATGATAATTTAAATGTTAACTTATACAACCTATGGTCAAATAAAAACAGATGAATCAAAATGTCCCTTTGTTATCATCTCTGCATGTTAGAAATATTTTGCGGGGCTCTGTCCTGCAGTCCCCAGCTGCATGACAGCTGAGACACGTACTCAGACACAGATAATCACTATAACAGTGGGCCAGGGGGCTGCCAGCACTACGGGCCCAAGAGAGTTTGCTGCCCCTCCAAGCTGGTAATGCTTGCATTTGTTTAGTACAGATTTAATTGGCAAAGGCTTTGAGTCAACACACCTGTGGGTAATTAACCTGGTTGCCCCCCACCCCGGAGATGGCCATCCTGCCTGCGATCAAAGGTTGATTTTAGGATCACATGAGTAAATAAGCTATTTAGATAAACTCCCCTATATTCCTTTGTATCTGCACGCTAAGCTATCTGGTTCCTGAAAAGAGAATCTGGCTGCCTTCAGCCAAACTATCTGAAGTTATGCAAACCACGCTAGGTCTTCCAAGAGGGTCTGCTTCTTTCTATTCTTATAATTTCTTCTGCCACTCTGATCTCCCACAATATATTTTTTTAAATAATGTAATAGCAAGCCAAAGACCATTGTATGTTGATATTTGGGGTTCTATGATGCTTTGTTAAGAAACTAAATATATAAACTTAAAAAGAACAAAAAAAAAAGGGGGAAAGAAAGAAGAAAATTTGCATGTCATTATCACTAGATGTCAGTATTTTCGTTTTTATTTTACAATTTCACATTGGGTTGTAAGTCAGACTTGTGTTCTTGAGATTATTTTTTACTACAGCAAATGCTGATTTTTGTCTTTGAACCTTATCTGTTGACTAGAGTACATGCAAACTTTAGCCCTTTCATTATTTGAAAGAGATGGATTATCTCAAAACCTCGAGAAAACATGGACATCAATGACTGATAGGTAGACAATATGAGAAATAAATTCTAATTAGCAGAGAATTTATTTATTGTTGAGTGCCAGATTGTTCTTCTTTAGAGTTACACCATTTATAATCCAACATATGGCACCAAAGTGCCTCTTTTCCCAAGTCTTTTGCAATACAAGGGTTCCATTCCCCACCCCACCTCCAATATTTTCATCTTCGTAAATCGAATGGATAGAAATTAATTGCATGATATTTTTGTGCTAAACGTTGTGCTGATAACTCTTCATAAATAATGGAATTTAGTTACCTCTACAATGCTATTATTACCTCCATATTGTAGGTGAGGAGACAGGTTTAGAGACATTCAAAGAATTACCTGCAGTTGCACAGCTATTCAGCAGTGGAACTGAGATCTAAACCCAGGCAGCTGGGATTCCAGAGTCTAAGCTCTTAACTACTAAGTTGAACCTCTTCCTAGTATTGTTTACAGCTCACAGTTATTAGATTACTAGTGAGGTTGCACATCTATCAAAAAAGATAACATACATCTATTTATCAAGGATACTATTTCCCAAACCCCTGAAGGAGAGGCAACATAGCAGTGATTGAAAGCGTAGGACTTGACATCAGACTCTCTGCATTCAAAGCTGCTTTGCCCACTTACTAACTGTGACTGTGAACAAATAGCTCTCTGAAGTGAAGCTAATAATATGCCTACTCTTAAGGTTGTGGTGAAAATTCAATGTGATAATGTTAACATATCAAATGCTCAGTTCAGTGGCTGGTACATTATAAGCAAATAAATATAGGTGGTAGTGGTTGTTATTAGGAAGGATACCACACTCAAAGCTAAGAAGATGGCTCAACAAAAACAAATTTTGCCAGGGTGGGAGGCAGAAAATAGAAACCAAGACTTAAAAAAAAAAAAGTTTTCTATATTCTATGTGCCTGTTATTTTTTATATACAATGTTAAAGAACATTAATGAGCACCTAATTGTGCTTGTTAATGCTGGAATTGGACCAGAAAGACCAGAAAGATGTATTGATTCATTTGGTATTTATTAATTTAATACTCTGTGCTAGACATTGTGCTAGACAGAACCTGAGACTGTACAGTTGTACCACCATTAATCTATAACCTAGACACTCATCATATACCCTTTGTATATGTCAGTAGATGATAGTGACTGAATATTTCTATAATTTAAAGTGACAAAATAATGTTTAGAAAGTTTGTGTTAGTGCACTCAGATCTTTTTTAGAGATTCACAAATGATATATTTTTCTCATTTCTCAGGGCTCATCAACATTCCAGCAGTGGCCCTTGGAATATTCTCTGGGGGGATAGCTATGAAAAAATTCAGAATCAGTGTGTGTGGAGCTGCAAAACTCTACTTGGGATCATCTGTCTTTGGTTACCTCCTATTCCTTTCCCTGTTTGCACTGGGCTGTGAAAATTCTGATGTGGCAGGACTAACTGTCTCCTACCAAGGGTATGTTCCCTCATTAAATAGTTTGAGGATATTGGTTTGTTTAACTAAATCAATTATTGGTGGAGCTGCAAAAAGGAATTTGATTTTTAAACATCACAACTATGGAATAACTGACAATATTTAGAATCTGTTATTGTCACCAGAATTTGTCATCTCCTTTGATTTTAGAGAAATACAAAAATTGTTAAACCCGTATTTTACACTAGAGAACCAACCTGATTAATTTAGAAAAACATGATAGTGGAAATACAAACCTTGAATCATGCCTCTGTCTATTCTTAATGAAATGATGTACATATGGTTTAAACTAATCCAGTTTCAATTTTCCCATCTTAAAAACAGAATAACTACCTTTTAAACCTTTGTAGGGTTTAAGCAAGCTAACATACATGAAAGTGAATACTACTTGCCTGACACAAAATAAATGTGCCATTCATGGAAACAATAGTTTTTTTCTCCTTTGGATATCTGAGGAACTGGAGTTACCTCTTTGCAATCCTCCATAGTTGCTGTTGTGCTTGAATCATGTAAAGTTTCAGGAAAGAGTGTCTGTCCTTCAACCCAGTGCTCCCCATAAAAGTTCTCTTTAGCTGAGAGTCTTGCAATTGGTCAGGAGAATATTTAGTGATGCCCTCAGGCCTGTCATCTTGTATGAGGTGGGTGATTACATTGCTTGGTTTCCAGAGTCTCTCTCAATACAAGGTTGGATCTTGTAGGGACTATATTGTCCTTGCCCATTGAGAGTCTTTCCCATCACTCTACCACTTAACATGAGTTTCCAGAGGTAACTCTCTTCATCATTTCACCTATATATGCATTATTTGTTTTCTAAAAAAATATCAAGCCTCCATCCTGTGCCACGAAGGCCTCTCCAAGTGTATCTGCCTAGCCACCTGAAACTCTGCCTGTGGCTCAAAGGCAAACACTCCTGACACTATATTCTATTTCCTGCCTATTCTGTGGCTTCTTGCTTACAGCCTGCTGTCCATCTCCCTTCCTACTCTTGCTTCACTGCTTATCTGTCTTGTCTCTATGTTCCAACTTCCATCACCTTTATTAACCTGGTTTCACCTGCTGCTAAATGAGCACCTGTTATAGTTTTGGCCGTCTACAATGTTCAGGAAAATTGGTTAATGCAAAGTTCATAAGTTATGGCTTCTGGGAGTTATCACAGCCACATTGTTAGACTCAGCTGAGTGTAGTGCTGCCTTAGTGAAAGTCAGTGATGCGGATTAAGAATGTTAGTTGTAACCATGAAATGGAAGAAGATTCTTCCATTTGGAGACAGCAGAAGCCCAGCGCCATCTTTAACTGTCCCAGAAATCCTCACAGTAGAGGGACAGTTGTTGAGGACTTTATAGTTTGTGATTTCCAAAACACCTTAACTTTCATGATCTCATTTCTATCCTCAGAACACCTTGATGAGGTTAGTTTTGTTATCCTTGTTTAAAGGCAACTGCATGGATCTGGGACTTGAACACAGGCACGACTCAAAGTAGAACGTTCTTTCTACATTATAATTTCTAAGCCAAAAGTAAACACAAAGCAGACAACAAAAGTAAACTTTGAGATTCCCATTAAAAGTATTCCCGCATAATCAAAGATTAAATATTTTAAAGAAACAAAAGGTAACATTTACATTAAGTGAGTACTAGTCTCTTCAAAGCAGTCACTTTGAAAGACTATAACTATTGCAGTAATGCTATTGTTGTTTAAAACATTCTAAGGCTCTTCTTTTGAAATTTCTTTGTATATTTTTGAGAATATTCTTAACAAGGGCAAAGATTTAACCTTTAAGGAAAAGCTCTCATCTTTCAAAATAACTATTTTGAAAGAAAATCTCATTTGGGTATAAACATTCTGGCATATTTGTCAAAACTCTTCTTATAATTAAAATTCTAAATTACAAATCTACTGTCAGCACATCCTTCAGAAAACATGTATGTTGTTGATTCCTGCTCCTGGTGATAAATTAAACTTACTCTCAATAATATAAAATATTTTTCTTTATAAAATATAAAATGGTTCCCATGGGTTTTTCCATGTTGCATTATTCCAAACGCTGTCTTGACCTGGATATTCAATAGGAAAACTGAAGACAAGCCTTAGATATGATAATGGAGGAAATCTCTCTTCTGCAATAACAAGGATAACTCTGATGTGACATAGGAATTTACAATCAAGAGGGCTTGCAGGATTCTGTTTCCAGGTTTGTTACTAGCAAGCAGTGTGAATTTGAGCAAGTTTTATACTTTCAGATATTACAAACAGTCTCAGTTAACAATTAAAATTTTATGGAAGGGAATAGGATTAAACATTCCTATAGCACATCTCGGAAGGCCTAGTGCAGTACCCTTTCACACTATTTGGAGACATCTCAGAGGTCTTTGGTTTGTACTTTTGAGGTGACAAAATTCATCATACCAGCTCTACTAGACGGAGTATTATATTGATTAAGAAATTATGGTTGCCATCATTAATGACAATACTTCTCAGAGGCAGAATCCCAAGTGATTAATTTCTCTCTCCAAAATAAAGTATCTTTTTTTTTTTATTGACTAACTTACTAGAAGTTTTGTTTCTTAGCTAGCTGTGTGACAGGAATTATTCTTGGTTCTGGAGATATGGGAGTGAATAAAAAAGTAGTTCCTACCTCTGTTGATTGTATATTTCAGTGTATTTCTTGTTTGTTTAAGCTCCTCAAATATTTTTTTTTAAAATGGGGGGGAAGAGGAGGAATAAACAAATAAATAAACACATTTGAAAATAAGGAACAGAAAAAATGAAGTATGGAGGACCAGTGAATGGCATATATGGTGCAGATAGAAATGACTTACCATTGCAAAAGTTCCCTTTGAGAAGAATAGAGGGATATGAATAATAAAAAGGATAAAAGCAGAAGAATTAGGCCATTCATGTGACAGAAAAAAAAGTGAGGGAGAGATGAAGGGTAAATATAAGAGCAAATGGCAGAGAACAAAAAAAAATGAAGGAGAAAAGAAAGAATGCAATCAAAATTTTGTGTAATAACTCAAAAAAGTCCATTGAAGGGGGACAAATTTTGTCTCATTAATATTTGTAACTATCTCCTATTCTCCCAGAGCTAGCACTTATTAGGCTTCCAGTAAAATTTTATGAACAAATAAATGTGTAAGTCATTGAACTTACTTGTGAATTTGAGCAAGAAAGGATGCTATCAGCTAAGAAAGAGCACTACACACTGGTAGGATACACGGGAGAAAGGTTGAATGAACTGGGAATGCACTTATTGGTAACACATATGCAAGAGGGCATGTAACTCCTGCAAACACCAAAAGAGAATTAACTGATAACTGATTGGCTATTTTTGCTTTTACTGGACCATTAGCAACAGCCATTTCACTCACACTTAGACAACAATTCTGAATGAAATTTGCGCACACACACACACACACACACACACACCTGTGATGCATTTAAGTAATGTCATAAATTGCTCTAAAAGTTTACTCTTCTACCTTGTTAGCTATTTTTGTACACCTTTGCACAGAAATATATTAGACGATCCTAGGGGCAGTAGACTGAAACCTATAAGCTAAGAATTGGACATCATGTGAATTTGTAAACCTCTAAAGATAACTTTCAAAAGAAAGTTTTTTATTAGTAAACTTATATTTCATGACCAGAAGCTGGCATTTCTGATGACAACTGTGTTTCTAAAAGGCAAATTTTGTTGGTAGTATCATTTATATCACTCAAGAACATTGATTTTTTTGAAAATATTCGGGTGCTACCTGCCAAGAGGTAATATTTTATATTGTTATATTTCTTTTCAGAACCAAACCTGTCTCTTATCATGAACGAGCTCTCTTTTCAGATTGCAACTCAAGATGCAAATGTTCAGAGACAAAATGGGAACCCATGTGTGGTGAAAATGGAATCACATATGTATCAGCTTGTCTTGCTGGTTGTCAAACCTCCAACAGGAGTGGAAAAAATATTGTAAGAAATCACCTCTCAAGTTTATGGCGATGGTCCTGGTACAATATAAACAACAAAACTCTATGGGGGCTCACAGCAGACCACTACTAGTGGGAGGCTTACCCCTCTGCTGCCTGGTCCTTTTATAGAAAAAGAAAATGTTATAACTATTCCTAGTAGTACTAGAGTTGCTGAAAAAGTTGGAGTGAGTGAGGATTAGAGTCACGAAATAGGGTGGAAGAACTTTTGTAATTACGTAGTCTATTTCTCTCATTTTGCTTTTAAGAAGTGTTAGCCCTGAATGAGAATGTCTGTCATATGATCATATAATAAGATACGCTTTCAGATCCCTGTCTTCTGACCCCAAGACCAGTGGTCCTTGGAGGTTTTAGGGGATGGACAAATAGATGCCAGTATTAGGAGGCTTAGGTCCAGAGATTCTAGACCTTGGGGTCAGGGATCTGATTATGAGGAGATTGATGGTTCTAGGACAACTTTGTTTGGAAAATCAAGCCAATTTGTATAATAATGAAAGGGCAGGTGGGCTGGAATGGAGGGTTTCCATAGGGCAGAAGAGGGAGAAGAGGTAGGAAATATAGGTAGGAATCTGTTTTAGTCAGTCCAGGCTGCTATGACAAATATACCATAGAATGGGTGGCTTCAAACATTTATTTCTCATAGTTCTGGATGATGGGAAGCCCAAGATCAAGGTGCCAGCAGATATGGTGCCTGGCGAGGACCCGCTTTCTGGTTTGTAGATGGCCATCTTCACCTTCTATCCTGACATGGCAGAGAGCAGGCAGGGAGAGACAGGTCTCCTGTCTCTTTCTATAAGGGCACTAAAATCACATTCATGAGGACTCCACCTTCATGAACTAATTACCTCCTAAATGCTGTACTCCAAATACCATCACATTGAAGGTTAGGATTTCAACATACAAACTTTGGACAAATATTCAATCCTTAGCAGACAGCAATTGTGAGGGATATAAAGTACTTAAATCGTTAACAGATTCATTCTTCTAAGCACACCTTTCCATTCTTGTCCCAGACTTTTCCTTATCCTTGCTCTTTGAGACTGCTTCCTATTTGTGACTGATTAAATTTGCCTTTATTTGACAATCCTAGAGGGCAGAAAATTAGACCATACATATATTTCATGTATTTACAAATCCTATTTCATTTATTTACATATGCCTTTATTTGACAATCCTAGAGGGCAGAAAATTAGACCACACATATATTTCATTTATTTACATATGCCTTTATTTGACAATCCTAGAGGGCAGAAAATTAGACCACACATATATTTCATTTATTTACATATTAGATATGAATGCTTAGGCTGTATATCCACAGATATATAGCTATGTTTGTTGATTGACTCTGTTCATTGTATTATTATTTTGACTTATTTAGAGCAGAAAGGATTGGTTTCTAGCAACGATGAATAAGACTACCTACTCATCTGAAATACGTTTTCATGCTTCTCTTTTCTTCCTGTCTTTGCTTTCTTTCTTTGTTATTTTTCTTTCAGCTACTGTTATTTTTGCTCACAGCTGCATGAAGGCTTTTCATAATGAGAGCTACCATTTATAAAAGACATTATAAGGAAGGGCTAAAGATTGGTGTTCTAAGAACAAAATTACATTCAAATCTCATGGTCCTAAAATAATTTGCATTATTTTCAGTATTTTCTTCATATGAGAACTGAGGCACTGAGATACAAAGGACTTGCTTAACTCATCTACCTAGTGGGCAACCAGAATTAAGATTCAAAGGTTTCAACTTGACATTACAAAAAATCTATATTACTACTATTTTAGAAAAGGAAATTCCAGCTTTATTTATTGTCTAAAAACTCACAAACTCTTTTGTGATTAAAATGATAACATTATATGTACACATTCATAAATAAAATTTACAGAAATAAACTATTGAGTTTACTCAATAATAAACTATTGGATTATACAAATTGTCTCTCTTCAGTCCAAATTTAGTTTAGTTTTATTCACCAGAATCATTTTTTTCTCACAGCCACTGTAAATTATGTCATATCCTCAAATTGTGCCCATTTACTTAACCAAGTTTTGTCAAATGCCTAAGATGAGAGCCTATTCCATTCCCTGGTTGCATAATAACAAAGCAGCAGTTTCTGCTTTCATAGAGGTTACATTCTGTTGGGAAAGTATATTTTAAAAATAAGTAAATATAGGATATCCTGATAGGCAGCAAGAAGCCCTGTAAAAAAAAAGACGTAAATTAGAATAAGAAAAAGGAGAGATGGGAGTTTGTTTTTTTTTTTTAATGGGTAGTCATGGAAGTTCTCTATTAAAACCTCTGTAAAGAGAACTAAGGTATGGATGCCAGCTGTGTAATCACCAAGGAGAAGAGCTACCTGGGCAGAGAAAATAGCAGGGCCATGAGGCAGGGATAAACTTGCCAGGTTTGAGGGGAAGTTTGGAAAGGGCAAAATGGGGCCTTTTCAAGGGTCACGTGTGTGGCTGACACAAAAGAAGAGAGGGAAGATCACTGAATGAAGAGATTAGAGTGGCATGCAGGTGCTACATGATGGAGAAAGTGTAAACTGTTATAAGGATGTGGGGTTTCATGCAAGTATAATGAGAAACCACTGGCAGGTTGAGGGTATTGATGCAGTCTGACTGTCATGTTTAAAGGTTCACTTTGCTTACTGGGTGGAAAACAGATTCTAGCTAGGTAAGAGTGGAAACGAGTTGAGCATAAAGGGAGCATTGTAACAATCTAGGCAAGAAATAATGATTACTTAGAATTGGAAGTGGTAGTGAAGGAGGTAAGGTATGGTTAGATTAGGCAGGATTTGCTTTGAGATTGTTGTATAGGATTAGTAGTTTGTAGATCAACCATCTGCTATTTAGATAATGAAATGTTGTATCTGTATAGATTTTGCTTTGCTCAATATACTCTAAAACAGAAAAATAAAAGAATATTTCCTCATTGTTTATGTAATGCATGGCTATGGTGCTGTAAAAATTTTTATAGTGACTATCTTTAATTTTATTTAAATGTTACTGAAATAATTGGACTTTTCCCTATTGTGTTACAGATATTTTACAACTGCACATGTGTGGGAATTGCAGCTTCTAAATCCGGAAATTCCTCAGGCATAGTGGGAAGATGTCAGAAAGACAATGGATGTCCCCAAATGTTTCTGTATTTCCTTGTAATTTCAGTCATCACATCCTATACTTTATCCCTAGGTGGCATACCTGGATACATATTACTTCTGAGGTGAGTACTGATTCTCCCTATTCTAACTTTAATATAAGACACAATCATCTCGAGCAATGATTTAAATTTTTTTCTGTGGAATCGTTATGATTCCTCTTAGTTTTTTTCAAGAAACTTGTCCCATATCCTTGTTTCACTTTTATATGTTATTGCACTTTGGGTATTTATACAAAAATGTGGCTGAATAGAAGTTTTCTTAGTTAAAAATGTTTGCAAACTATTGGTCTAGGAGGCAATGTTAGTGCCTACATCACTAGAATTGCTTAATAAATGTAGTATCCAACTTCTAACGCTGGTGATAATATTAATTAGCATAGGTAACATGCATTTTAGATTAAATATAGTTTCACCAAATCATGGGAAATACAATTTATAAAATATTTTAAGGCTCATCTAATACAATAATATTAGAATTTATTATATATATTGCTTTATCTGATTATTTTTGCCATGACTGGAATTATCTGTGGGGGATTTCATGGCTTTTGGGTAAATTGAGGCTTCTAATCCATGATGTTAATGACTGTATTATTACATTTTCACACTGATAGAAAGAAATACCTGAGATGGGGTAATTTATAAAGGAAAGAAATACCTGAGATGGGGTAATTTGTAAAGGAAAGAGGTTTAATTGTCTCACAGTTCCGCATGGCTGGAGAGGCCTTAGGAAACTTACAATAGTCAGGGGAGGGGAAACAAGTCCTTCCTCACAAGGCACAGGAGAGAGAAGTACAGAGTGAAGAGGGAAGAACCTCTTACAACACCATCAGATCTTGTGAGAACTCACTATCACAAGAACATCATGGGGGAGCCACACCCATGAGCCAATCACCTCCAAAGAGGTCCCTCTCCCAACATGCGGGGATTAAAATTTGGATTGCAATTCAAGATGAGATTTGGGTGGGAACACAGAGCCAGACCATATCAATGACTTCAACCATTTTTGCTTATAAAACCCTAAAAAAATTTGTAAAAGTATGTAGCTTCTTGCATATTTATAATTTGACACATAAAATCTTTATCATAAGTTTAAATAGTAACTAAATTGATTTCTGGCATATTATAAATATTTCTATTTTAAAAATAACGGTTTTAAATGTAAGTCACTTTCTAACGTAATTAATGGGATCTAAAACATAGTGATTTGTTAACCAACATCACCTGAGTGAGAATTGTATAACTACTTTAACAGTGACAAGCATTACATATTTCCTTGTTCCTGTATTTATATCTCCATTCAAATTCCCTATAACGTTTTTCTTATATTAAAGCAGAATTTGTGCTCGAATTTTTTTTTACTGATTATGCTATCATACACCTGTAAAAATTATATGACTCCAAATTGTAAATAGTTTTGAAAACAGGAGCCTCAGTTATAATATTTTCAACCTAATTGAGCTAGCTTTAGCTTTGCAAATGTTTCTATATATTTATGAGATGGACTGGGTGATTTTCAAATTAATTCATATATTTAAGGATGAATACTAATTTTTTTCCTAAAGTAAGACTAAGCAAAGTATTGTGTACATTTTTTTTATTTCCCACAATTTTTATCTGGAAATTGTTTAGAAATGACAAACAGAAAATAGAACTTATTAACCACAAACCTGCTATTCTCAAAACAGCTTTCATCAAATCATGGGAAATACAGCATGGAGAACGTGGGATAGTTACATTTACAAATGGCAGCCTGAGTTTGACAAAATGGCAAAACATTGTCCTAGACTTTCCAGAACATTGTGGCTACTTCTTCAACATCTTCTTATATTGTGCCAAGTGTAGAATCAGGTTACTTACCACAGAAAGCATCTTTCTAACCACTAGTCCGTCATATTAACTATTGTGAATTTTGATGTCAGAAGAAAAGGCGTGTCTTTTTCTTTTTTGCCTCTTTTAAACAGAAACTAAAAGATATAATATGTAAGAAGTAGTTAATACCATGGTTAACACTCAGCAGTTATTTTATATATCACCATGATTATTACTATTAAATTTCATAGGCCAATCAGTTTAAGCTTTACAGTCATATTAATGACACTCTTATTATTTAGGTGTTTTTGCACTTTTCTGATTTTTTAAAATTCCCTCTATTTAGCAACAACTTTTTAGCATGCCACAGTGATTATATCAACGCTGATCAATTTGGCCCTGTGCTTTTAGACAAAAAGCCATAAAAATTGTAGGCTATTAATTATTTATTGTTGCTTCAAATTCTAACAATTTCTTAGAAATTTGAGTTTCATTCTGAATCTTTGCATTTTGGTGATTACACTTATATTTGACTTTATCGGCACCATATGAATATGGCATGTATGGGTGATTTAGTTTCTAGAAATATTAATTATAAACTTCTTATAGCATTGCATGAAATGGAATATGGCTTTTACATATTTTGCCCTCCCTATGTTAGCACAACAATGGGTTCAACATAAATGGCACTTGAATTCTAACATGATTTCATGCATGTTAGGCAGATTATCATTCAAATTTCTATTTGCTTTAATGGATTATATATTTCTTGTAATGGTGCTTTTGTTGATTTTAGGTGTATTAAGCCACAGCTTAAGTCTTTTGCCTTGGGTATCTACACATTATCAATAAGAGTTCTTGGTAAGTTAACCTATGCTTTAATTTATGGTAGCCACCATAAGTGTATTTTGAAGACTTTTCTAAATATTTTTACAGAATTGCCATGCATAAATATATGTTGTAGGTAGCAAAGTTCATAGTCTTTTTTATTCCTTTCTTCATTTATTTATTCCCTTCCTCCTTTTCTTGACTCCTTTCTTCTTTTGTTACAGAAATGTATTGCCTATTTTGTGCTCCAGATATAACAGAGATTTTGTGAGATTCATAATAATTAATCACAATTTTTGTTTAACAATCTTACCTTTTCTAGCACTTGTGTGTTCTCAGAAAACCCATGGCTTTTACAAGACAGCTCTCAGAAATTAATGAGTAAGAAAGGCTGAAGCCTAAATATAATTTTTTCAATTCCTAAAATGGAAATAATTATTTTGAGTTACTCTCAATGCTTATCCCTTATGTCATTAGGGAGAAAGATAAGGTATTATTTAAACCAAGCAAATAAATTTGAGTAGGTCATACTTTAAATTGCAATTGAAATGTTTTTTGTGACTACCAAATTTTTAAATATATATTGGTTAAAACCCATAGGAAACAGTGAATGAGACAAAGTTTGTATCCTTAAAGAGTTTTATCCTTAAACAGTTTTATTGTTAAAGAGTTTTATCCTTAAACAGTGAATGAGACAAATAAGGTTTTTATCCTTAAAGTTTTACCCTTGAAGAGTTTATATATTAAAGAATAAAATAAAATAATTTTGAATATTTCACTGCCATTTGTCAGAAAGGAACAACCCAGAAACAAGAACAAACTCAAAGCTTTAAAAATCTGAAATTAAATTTGGTTTACATAGATATTGTTGTAAAATGGTTGCATAGCAAGATAATAGAATCCTGACAACACTGAAAAAGAAACAAAAATAGGGTTATGTGGCATCATGACTGGCCCTAATTCTACAATATGAAAATAGGTATTAGCTAGAAAAGTGTCATATATTGAGCCTGTAGTATATGCTTGGCAAGAATTGGCCCCCATATCTACCTGTCTTTGGGAATACAGATGGAGCCTACAGAGCAAAAATTGTTCCAACATAAACAAATGGTTTACAAAATTGATTTGACAAAAATAATATTTGAAATTGGCAAAAGTATCATAAGCAAAGTCAAACGGCAAATGACGAACTTGTAATTTATGTAACAGACAATTGCCTAATATTCCTATTATAAAGAAAATCCTAAGTTTTGAGAAGAAAAAAACAAGCAACAAAGTAGAAAAATGAGCCAAAGATGTGAATTTTTCATGGAAAAATAAATGTAATTGCCATTTAATATATAGAAAGATGCTCAAATCCACTCATAAAAAGAGCCAAGTTAGAACCACCTTTCTTATCAGGTTGACAAATTGCCAAATTTTGTTTGCAATGTATGGAAAAATAGATTATGCTTACACATTGCTGTTGGAAAATGATGTTCTTTATTGGGCAATAACAGGTAAAATTACATACATATATATATATATTTACCTTTTAACCTAATATCTTTACTTCTAAGAATTATACCAAAAATTTGCTAGCAAAAATTATAAAATAAATTTAATCATTATGAATAGGTGCAATAATTGTGACTTTTTATAATAACAAAAAACTGAAAGTGACTTAAATGTCCATTGGTAGGAGATTGGTTGAATAAACTGTAGTACACACACATAACAGAGCTGTAAGGATGAATGGGGAAAATCTATCTAATGTTACCAACCGATCTCTACTATATAGTATTAAGTAAAAAGAAGCAAAATGGAGAACAATTTTTATTGTATGATGTTTTTGGTGTTACGTGTGGAACCGTGTAAACATTATATGCATGTGCAAAGGCATTTTGCTCTTTTTTATAAAAGAAAAATGGAAGCATAAACTAAAAACAAATTTTTAAAAATGGTTATACCTGTAGGAGAAGAAAGGGAAGAGGGATAAAGTTCAGGATGGAAGTAAGACTTTGTAAATGTAACTTTTTATGTGATTGTTTAATCAAAATTATACAAAGTTTTAATATAACTGAAAATAAAATTTAAAATAACCAAATATTAAACTGAAACTGTTTAACGTAAGCATATGTTGGTTAAATAAGCATACATGAAAAACTTTAAATGCCTTAAAAAATAAAAGTTTTTACCAAATCCTCATAGATTAACTGGATTTGTAGTTATTATTAGTACTAATATCAATATTTTTATGTTGAAACTATTATATTTTTAAGATAAAGCAATTGAAATATGTTAAGATTACTTGGAATCAATATTTTTAGTAAAACAGAAAAGTGATACAAGAATAAAATTAAAAAATTTAAAGGCCGGGTGTGGTGGCTAACGCCTGTAATCCCAGCACTTTGGGAGGCTGAGGCAGGCAGATCAACTGAGGTCGAGAGTTCGGATCAGCCTGGCCAACATGGTGAAACCCCATCTCTACTAAAAATACAAAAATTAGCTGGGCGTGGTGGCGCGTGCTGCAATCCCAGCTACTAGGGAGGCTGAGGCAGGAGAATTGCTTGAACCCAGGAGGCAGAAGTTACAGTGAGCCAAGATCGTGCCACTGCACTCCAGCCTGGGTGACAGAGCAAGACTCCAACTTAAAAAAAAAAAGAAAATTAAATAAATCTCATTCTTAAATTTGAACTCACATATTTTTATTTTAAAATAATGTGTATTTTATAGCTCCATCTCCTGAAAACTCTAGAAACTTTGAAACCCAGAAGAAATGAACACCACAACACTTAATCTGTGATATCTAAATATAATCTCGCAGTAAAAGATATGGCACCTTGGAGAAATGACTGGTTCAAGGCCTAGGGTAGAAAATGCATAAGATGATTATGGGACATCTTTTTATACTAGAAAATGAATGCGCTATCACAGCCTAAGAAGGATATATCACAAGGGAACAGAACCAATTTGAGGAGATTGGCCTCAAGGTGAGATAAATTGAAACTCAAAATAGTTGTAGCAGTAGTAACAATAATGGCTGCAGTTTATTGAAATACATAGAATATATTAAAACACATGAGTTTATAATGATATTTTTAAAATTTGGAGAATATCAGGACATCAAGTCATTATTCTGAAAATTGAGAAATAAAGGAGAAAAAAATGATTTATCCTGCCTTTCTTCTATTAACTGTATGTCAAAGTATCCAAATTAGTCAATTAAGGAAAATACCTTTTTAGAGAAAAACCCAAAAATACTTTCTGAAGAAATATAGATTTAAAAAAAAAAAAATCCTGTCTTGTGGCCTTAAAAATAGTTAAAAGCTTAAGCTGAAAGTTGATGAACAGCTTCATAATGGAGGGATCTGACTGGCCTAGTCTGAACTTCATGCCCATCTTAGCATTACTAAGAGTGGCAACTGAGTTGCATGTGCCTTCTAACTGGGACAGAATAAAAAAATACACAGTACGTTTGCCTGAAGTAAATTGAACCTGAATCTAACAAGACTTAACTACCAGATTCTAGGAAAGATGGGTGATAGGGGAATAAATTAAATAATGTTATAAAGAAGCAATGAAATCCAGACTGTGGCATATCCTATAGGACTTGGTGGTGTCTTTTTTTCAAAAACCATTAGTAAGAAAAAGAAGTGAAGAGTGTATATTGCTATAAAGAGTCATCAACTAAATATAATGTATTTATTTGGTTTGGATCCTTATAAAAACAAATGAATTAAAAAAATCCTTGGAGACAATCCAAAAACTTGAATATGTGCTACATTTTATATAAAACTATGAAAGTATTACAAAACGTGTTAGGTGTGAGAATGACATAGCAGTCATGTTTTTAAAAAATGTCATCAGTAGAGATGCATGCTGAAATATACATAATTGAAATGACATGGTGTCTCAGATTGCCTTTAAAATATTAAAACAAGAGTTCAGGCTGGGCACAGTTGTTCATGCCTACAATCCCAGCACTTTGGGAGGCTGAAGCGGGTGGATCTCTTGAAGCCAGGAGTTCGAGACCAGCCTAGTTTCAACATAGCTAAACCCCAATCTCTACTAAAAATACAAAAATTAGCCTGGCATGGTGGCGCACGCTTGTGTTCCGAGATACTCAGGGAGTCTGAGTCACAAGAATTGCTTGAACCCAGGAGGCAGAGGTTGCAGTGAGCTGAGATTGTGCCACTGTACTCCAGCTTGGGTGACAGAGGCAGACTCTGTCTCAAAAAAAAAAAAAAAAAGAGTTCAGAGTGGAGAGAGAGAGGAAACAGCAATGGCAAAACATTAATAATTGTCAAAGCTATGATGGTACATGAGGATTAATTATATCATTCTCTCTGCTTTTGTGAATCTTTGAAAATGTTCTATTACAATAATCTTAAACCATGTATAGAAAACGGCGAACATTTGAATCTTTTGGCTTGTCTTCATGGGGTTTCATGCAAAATAGATTAAATTAGATATTCCTATAATCATTTGTTATTTAAAATGTAAACATGTACAAAGATAGCAAGAACTTTCTTTGTATACAGCAAAGATAACAATGAACTCCCATTTATCCATTACCCATTTTCAACAGTTATCAATGCACAGCTCATCTTAGGACATCTGTGTGCCTAACTACTTACCCCAACTAGCTTATTTTGAAGTAAGTCTTAGACTACTGCATTTCTTCTATAACATGTTTGGTGTGCTCTTCTAATCAAAACCATAATGACTTGTTTTAATCTGGTGATTCTTGCATCTTAAAAAATAACTTCTTAATATTAGCAAATACCCAATTACTGCTCAAATTCTTTAAATTATCTGATGTTTCTTTATACATGTACGTTTCAATCAAGAACCAAACAAGGTCCACAATTGCATTTAGGTGATATATTGCTAAAATCTTTTTTAATCCATAGGTTTCACTTCCCTCTTTCTTTCTCTCCCATTTGTTGTGAAAATTTGAAATCTACAAAACAAAAATTTAAATGACAATGAATAATTATAAAACTTTTACTGGGATTTATCAACTGTGTCCAAAAACCAGAAATCTCTCTCCTCTGTTTCTCTGAGCATACAAATATTTTGCTGAATCATTTGAAAATAAGTAGTGAACATGCTGACACTTCAGTCCTAAAGTCCTCGACTTGTATTCTTCTACAAGAGCACTTCTGTCGTCCTGTATAACCACAATACCATTCTCACACTTCAGAAATTCAACATTGATATGCTACTCTGTCTAATATAATTCCTCATTCAAATTTCTTTCATTATAACAATAGTGTCTTCTATAGTATTTTATTTTCTCTTTTGATCCAAAGTCAAAGACCACATATTGTGTTTAGTTACCCTTTTTATCTCCAAAAATTCCTCATTCTTCTTTTTTTGTTCTTTTGCAACATTTACATTTTTTTTTCAAGAGGCAAAGCCAGTTGTTTTGTAAAATATCCCACCTATTGGATGTGTTTGCTTTTGAGTATGTCCAGGTAAAATATTGTAGGTGGCAATACTACACAGATGATTTGCATGATGCTTAATAAATCACATCAGGAAGCACATCAATTCAGTTTATGCCATCATTGGAATTTTAATTTTGGTCCCTTGGTGAAGGTGGTGTCCACCAGTTTTCTCCATTGTAACAATCCTTCTGCAGTTAATAAGTTATCTATAATTTGACACTTCGAGATTATGTCACCATTCTGTTTCCCAAAAATCTTTCACTCAAAACTTTGGCAGCCACCCATGAGTCTGGATTGAATCAATTTTTTACATGAGTATTTGCAAAGTTTAGGTAAACCTTTACATAAATATGTGTGTGTGTGTGTGTGTGTGTATATATATATATATATATATATATATATATATATATATATATTCGGTTGTTTTTTTTTTTTTTTTGAGACGGGGTCTTGCTCAGTTGCCCAGGCTGGAGCGCAGTGGTGCGCTCTCTGCTCACTGCAAGCTCTGCCTCCCAGGTTCACGCCATTCTCCCGCCTCAGCCTCCTGAGTAGCTGGGAGTACACCCACCCACCACCACACCTGGCTAATTTTTTTTTTTTTTGTATTTTTAGTAGAGATGGGGTTTCACCATGTTAGCCAGGATGGTCTCTATCCTGACCTCGTGATCCACCCTCCTTGGCCTCCCAAAGTGCTGGGATTATAGGCGTGAGCTACCGCGCCCGGCCAGAAAATATTTTGAAATATTTTCATTTGTTTTCAAATAACAAATGGATAATCTCTGAAATTTAGAAGTATCATAAATATTATTAGATGATTTTAAAAATTTAGTGAGATTATTTTATTCAATATAAGCCTACAAAGAAATTTTATAACCGAAGAAAACATATAAAAAGGTTAAAACTCAAATGCCAGAAACAAGCAGGCTGTTGATGGAAATGAGTGATGTAGGCAGAGAGAAAGCTGTATGGACTCGCGGTAGACTCCAAGTGTAGGCAGCGGGTGAGGAGTGAGGCATGGAGGCAGCTCCTGCTCAACTCCAGCCAACTATGACCATGAACTGCCAGACAATATAGTTCTTAAGAGAACTAAATAACAGATGTTAATGAACCACCAATTTAGAACACGTAAAATATACCCTGAGCTATGAACAACTACTTAAGATACTTTCATTAATATTTGTACACTAGAGATACCGTTTCTCTTAAGGAGGGATTAAATTCTGAACATTTTCTGAGGGTTTACAGCTTGAAAAAGAAGGACAGATTTCCTACCATGGTGAGCTTATAGTCTAGCAGAGAAGGCAATTCGACAAGCTATTACAGGAGTATTAAAAGTTTTATGAGATGTAAAACAAGTTTAGTTCGTCAAAATAGCCTCCATGAAGGAAAACGTTCAAACTGAGATTTTAAAAGTGAGTGTGTATTAAGAAGGTAAAGAAGAGAAAAGTATTGCTTGGGATAAAGGAAACTACACAAGGCATTGAGACAAGAGGAGAGAACATTTTAGTCACTGAAAGAAATCCAAGAAAATTGCATTCTGAAATATAAGACAACAATCTTGCCCAAAGCGAGGCCACAAAAGTAGAATAACCCAATGTTCAGTTAACTACTCTTCTTTTGGAAGTGATGTCTTGGGAAGTCACCTACTTAATTCAGTGATGCAGTCTCTGTATGATGGATAGATTCGAGAAGGTTAATGAAGGAAGCCAAGAAATCATGAATTGGCTGTTGCTTTATGTTAGGGTAGAAGGAGTGGCAGTGGGAATGGAAAGAAGAGAAACTGTTTAAGATATACCTACTAGGTAGAATTGGTATGTTTGAGGGATAAATTAAATATAGTGATAGCCAGACAGAGGAGAGAAAGAAGGCTCAATGATGACTCCCAAGTCTGCTTTAATGACTGGGCTTCCACTGATAAAGGGACAGGTCTGTAGGGGAAGAAGTTGAGCTCATGTTGAGTTTGAAGTACCTGAGTGACATGCTTCTGGAGAAAAATAAATGGCAGTTACTGCATGATTCTGGAGCTTATGAGAAAAGACTGGATTAGAGAGAGGTTTTGGAGATTTCAGCATGTAACTGATGGCCTTTCATCTCCAAAACAGTAATTAAATTAAAGTAAGTGGTTTCAGATAATCATTCATAGACAAAAAGATGTGCATATGTTTTTTTAACAGCAGTTGTTTTTCTCACAGCAGGAATCCCAGCTCCAGTATATTTTGGAGTTTTGATTGATACTTCATGCCTCAAATGGGGATTTAAAAGATGTGGAAGTAGAGGATCATGCAGATTATATGATTCAAATGTCTTCAGGTACCAAATCAAAAGCATTCCCGCGTCTCACTGCTACAGCATCCCAGATTTACACAATGCCACTGACACTAACAAGTTTTCATGTCATTTCACTGCTTGTAAGGTAAAGAATAGTCTAATCAAAAAGTGTGATCTGTAATCATAGAATAATTATATTATTATTTGATTAGATCTTTGATTTTTGTCCCTATTCATTACCTTGACTCCCATTTTAAATGAGTAATCATTTTTAAAATATGACCAAAATGTCCAGAATAGAGTAGAATTTTGAAAGTTTATGCACACAAATGGGCAAGTATTTCCCTGAAATTCAGAGGCATTTAAATTTAGGTCACATTTTGGGTTTGATTTTATTCTTTTTCAAACTGAGCCAAACTGTACCACTTACGTCAGATATAATCCCCCTGGGCAAGAGTTGGATTTGGCTCTAAATCTGTCCGGCTTTTATTGCCAAACTGATGTTCAATTATTCTCGTACTTGAAATGCACAAAAGTAAAAGGTTTTCTCTGTGTGGGTGAGTGTATATGGGGGTTGGGTGGCATGGCTTTTTCACTATGGTGTCATTCAGTTCAGCTCATCAAACATTTAGTCCCTTATTGCTTAAAGCAATGCTTCAATGGCTTAAAAGCAAGGAAGATTGTTTAAAAGACTTACAAGCTGAGCATTTTCTAGAGAAATAAACCTGGTACTGAACCATCTTAGTTGGATGTGAATTGGGTACACCATTTCAAATAAATCTGTTTGAGTTAATAGGTTTTGATGCTATGCGTGAAATTTATTTTGGTTTTTGAAAGGGACCCAATCTGTGAGTATAATTTAGGATTTCCTCACATTTTTGCTAAGGCTGTATTAACTGTAATGTAGAGACAATGCAACTCAATCAGAGATTGAGAGTATGTTTTCAAGGTAACCAGAATGAGACATGCAACCTGCCCTTCCATATCTTAGCATCTTCTGACAAAGCATAGAACTATAGGTTTCTCATGAAATAAACTGATTTAAATAACTGGTTTATTCTGAAATCACTCTGCTTTACTCAGAGCTCCAGTTCCCCTTAGCATTGCTTCATGCAAGTTTTCCAAAGAAATGAAGTTGGGAAAGGTCTGAGGATAGGGTAGCCACATAATTTATTATTCAAAACTGGGTACTTTTGAATGTGAAAAGGAGCACTATAAAAATTACACTGGGCCAATACCAGCATAAACCGGGGCTGTTCTAGGCAAACAGGGATATGGTTACCTGGTCTAAGGAAATAATTTACAGAAAGGATAAAACTGATTATGTAATTAGTAGTAACTGAAAATGATGGTGCTACTAAGACATTGCTTTATTTTGTAAACTGCCTTCAACGGTCTGTCAGTATTCATAAAATCGTCTTTTATATAAACCACCAAATCTGCATTCTTAAAGAAAAGCATCAGAATGATATTATTACCTACCTTTTAAATTTTCTCTGAAGTTGGGTAGTTGCAATAATTCTAACAGAGATTCTCTCTTCTTCTAGACATATATATCTGGGACTAACTGTGATACTGGGCACAGTGTCAATTTTCCTAAGCATTGCAGTACTTTTCATTTTAAAGAAAAATTATGTTTCAAAACACAGAAATTTTATAACGAAGAGAGAAAGAACAATGGTGTCTACAAGATTCCAAAAGGAAAATTGCACTACAAGTGATCATCTGCTACAACCCAAATACTGGCCAGGCAAGGAAACTCAACTTTAGAAACATGATAACTGGAAGTCATGTGTTCTAATTGGTGGACAATTTGCAAACAAATAAATTGTAATCAAAAGAGCTCTAAATTTGTAATTTCTTTCTCCTTTCAAAAAATGTCTACTTTGTTTTTGGCCCTAGGCATTAGATAATATAACTGATAACAAATATACTGAAACATATAATGGAAGATGCAGATGATAAAACTAATTTTGAACTTTTTAATTTATATGAATTTTTTTATATCATTTACTTATTTCACTTTATTTTGCCTTGTGCTTATTGATATATATTAGCTGTACTTCTAGAAGAACAATTGTCTCTATTGTCACACATGGTTATATTCAAAGTAATTTCTGAACTGTGTCATGTGTCTAGAGTAAGAAAATACTGCTAAAAATTAACTCATACTTTGGGCTCCTTCAAGTATTACTTCTATAGTATTTTCTCCCATAGCTGTCTTCATCTGTGTATTTTAATAATGAACTTAGGATGGAGCAGAACATGGAGAGGAAGATTTCATTTTAAGCATCTCCTTTTCTTTGAAATACAGTAATTTATATAGAAATGTATAGCAGCAAATTATATTGGGGATTAGAATTTGGAATTAATAGCTCTCCTACTATTCATTTACATGTGCTTTTTGTGTGGCGCTATAAGTGACTACGGTTGTAAAGTAATAAAATTGATGTTAACATGCCTTATTGTTCTTTTATGAATTCAGTGAATTTAAAACTATTGTAAAATATAATGCTGCCCCTAATTTAATATATGTAAGCAACTTCCTACTTACATACATGACGTGTTCCTAAAACATGTTTGAAAGGTGAATTTCTGAACGTCTACAATAAATGTAGGTGTTACAACAGGAATAGAGAGTGATGGATGCGTGATGGGAAGTCTAAGTGTGGCACCTTTTGGTGCTCCACCTTCCCGCATCACAGGGCCGAGGGACTCCTGCGCAGGGAGTTGCCACGGGGACAGCTTGCCAGATAGCTCTGTTTCTCTGCAACTGAAAAAGTCAAGCCAAGAGTTTTTTTTTCTTTTTTCTTTTTTTTTTCAGACAGAGTCTCGCTCTGTCGCTCAGGCTGGAGTGCAGTGGCGCGATCTCAGCTCACTGCAAGCTCCGCCTCCCGGGTTCCCGCCATTCTCCTGCCTCGGCCTCCAGAGTAGCTGGGACTACAGGCGCCCGCCACCAAGCCGGGTTAATTTTTTTGTATTTTTAGTAGAGATGGGGTTTCACCGTATTACCCATGATGGTCTCGACTTTCTGACCTCGTGATCCGCCCACGTCGGCCTCCCAAAGTGCTGAGATTACAGGCGTGAGCCACCGCGCCCGGCCAAGAGTTTCTTCTTTCCTGACTTCCTGGTGCTCTTCTGATGGGGGTTGGTAGGTTCAGCAGTCAAAAATCTTTAATCTTTAGCTCTATTATGTACTATATGTTTCCTCCTCCACCATAGCTGTAAAGAAAGGCTTAATCCTTCCAAGAAAAGCAGACTTAAGACAGAGACCACCCTAGTGAGGTATCCTGTTCAGCTACTACTGGCTCACCATCCAATTCTGTCCGCATTCTGTTAGTCCGGTACAATCCGGAGAAGACTAGATGAAAGGAAAAGTTGGATTAGAAAAGATAACCTGAAGGACACTGCAGCCTAAGTGAGGCCACAGAGTCCTTCAAATGCACAGGAGGACCCTTACTTAGGAGATTTTCAAGGCTACAATGGGAACCCATAATTCTACTATGTACCAGCCACACCAAAAATTGTGTTACTTAATCTGTACAGCACTCCTAGTATCTGAATCCCCGTTTTGCAATGAAACAGGCTAAGAGAGGTTAGATACATTGCTTAACCTTGGAGGGGCACCGAGAGGATTAAAACCAGGTTGAATCTGAAGTTATCTTTCCACCATACCAACATGACCCTATAATGTTACAATAAACTGCTACTGTCATTTGTAATGTCTCTGCATTATTTTATTTCACTGAATCAGTTTGCTCCTATAGTTGTCTTGATTGCGTATTTCAGTACCATGCAGGTCATCAACAACTACTATAAACCACACAAATAATTTCTTTAGCATATTGTTTTCTCCAAATGTTGTTGATTTATATTTTGAAATACTGTAGTGCTAACAAAGAAGCCCAAAACATTTAAGTCTGATGATCAAAGATAATCCTTTAGAATTATGGAAACTTGGAATTGCAACACAATTTTAGTAGCCTTTAGAACAATCAGCACAAGTCAACAGAACACTCCAACCAGAGCAGTCTGTTTGAGGCATTTCTTGAAGCCTAAATTCAACAAGAAGGCCCAGCTCAAAAATATGGGGGCCTCATTCACGTTGCCCCATTATGTTGCCTTCCAATTCCTGAGCTCAACCGATGCACGTACTTCAGTCTCCCCAGTAGCTAGGACTAGGACTACAGGTGCAAGCTACTGCTCCTTCAGGTGAAGTGATCATACAGTACAACCAAAATCATTTGCATTCTTTTAATTTTATATCAATCTTGCAAATACTAATGGGAAAAAAGGAGATGGAAAATTTGGAATTGGAGAAAGAAGGAAATGTTCTCTAAATGTATATTAACTTTGTCAATTTATTTGAATTGGTGATGTTCAATTGTTTTGTATTTTGCTATTTTTGAAAATAAAGACTTTTAAATTTTTATTTACACTTTCGTTTCCAGCAGGCCTACTTCAGACCTGCTGCTCCCCTGCTAGCTTATGAGCAAGAATCCTTTTTGTCATCCCCGTATGAATCTTACCCATATAAATATTTACTGAATGGGTGAGTGAGTACACTTGCCAAGAGTTTTCTTTGTAGAGATATAATTAAACTTCAAAGTCTTAATCCTGCCTCCTACATCCTCGTTATTTTTCAAGGCTTTTTGTCACAATACCTTGAAAAATAACTTCTTTGCAAGTAAATTTCCAAACAGAATAGTTTCCAATTTATTCTTGAATAACTTGAAAAATAAAAAACAACACAAAGGATGAATAAACAATGATCTTTTTATGAAAGAACTGAAGGTCAGTTTAAAGGAAGCATATTTTTATGCACAACCATTAATTTTACAGTGGAATTACACATATTAAACTCAGCTGTATAACAAATGAGGGTATCATTTAGCAGGAAATTGAATTTACTAAGAGGAACGCTCATATTTTAGATAAGTAAACTCATTTGACAGAGGTAAGCAGACTTGTTATGCCTCAGAAAGCACGATTAGTTTTTTTTTTTTTTTTTTCAACAAACCAAGCTCCATTTCAGAAGTCAAGGAAATTCCCTCAGTTCCAAGACCAAACTTTTGAGGTAGAGCTGTAATTGATGTGTAGGATCCCACAATTTCTCCAAGTTTAATGGGCAACATTATTCTCTTATTCTGCAGCCATGGGCCCTAGAGGTGACCAGCATCCCCACTGAACATCTGATTCACTATAACCTTCCTACAGGTAAAGCTCCAGCAATGTCATTTTATAGGGGGAGTGACTTAAATTGGATTAAATGACTTTCCCAATGTGGGTGTGTGAAAGCCAATACTGGGTTCTTTCATTACATCATGATTCCTACTACAAACAAAAAACAAACATTCTGAAGCCTCTAAAAACTGCTGGACCATTAGTATTTATAGAATTTATAGTATTTATAGAATCTACACTTAAATATTACATACCTATACCTATACTTGTGCATAAAGAGAGATTCAAGAGATAAATTGACATATACTTGAGACATATACTTGAGAATTGACACATACTTGATAATAACATATTCACTATTATATTAAATGAAACAATTTATATTAAGTACCCTCTGTATGTGTGCTAAATGCCTTAGATATTCTCAGTTTTAAAGATTAAAATAGCTTTATGTGTAAGGTATTATTACTGACATTTTCAGAGAAACAAACTGAGTCTTAAAGAGTTAGTGGTTTGTCCAAAGCCAATCAGTTTTAGCAGTTGGTAGAGCCAAGACTTAAACTGAAGGTTATCAGGTTCAAAAAGCCATGTTGTGCCTTCATTAATCTATACCCTAAATCACTGGCTTTCACTAACTCTGCTAAAAATCAAAATTTGGACATCGCTATTAGAAAAGTTTTAACACACTAAAACATATACATGGTTTAAAAAATGAAAAAAATTTGAAATGAGAAGTAATAGCCCTCTACCCCACCTTGACTTCTATTCCTCAAAGGCAACAACTAACTACTCACTAGTTTCGGTTGTGGGCTTTTCTTTTCCTGTTTCTTTCTTTTTTTTTTTTTTTTTAATTATTATTTTTAGAAACAAAGGTCTCATTATGTTGCCTCTGAACTCCTGGGCTCAAGCCATGCACCTGCCTCGGCCCCCTAAATAGTTAGGAGGACAGGTGTGAGTCACTGTGCCTGGCTTGTTTGTTGGTTTTTCGAAGGTCACTTTCATATCTTTAAATGTATGCTCATATGACTAGTCTTGATTTACCAACTTTGGGCAATGTCTGTTGACTGTCTACTCTGATAGATTGGTACTAATGTCACTCATAAATCCTCCGTTGTTCTTCTGTTCTCTGTACATAGTAAGGTCACTAAGTACACAGGTCACTATGTGCATTTTGCAAAATGAAGAACTTAGAACTTCCTAACTTTTCTCCAGGTCTTCAAATTCTCTTCTATCTCCCTCTTTATGCTAGCTGTACCTTTACTTTTACATTGTCGAGAATAACATTTTTAGTCAGCTCTGTAGTCAGTCATACTAATCTAGGAAAGGCCTGAATAGTCACCATGAAGATCAATGCCATCCACTTTCCATGGTATGAAAGCTCAGCACTTGAAAACAGAATGAGAGAGGGTAAAACAAACAAACAAACAAACAAACAAACTAAAATTTATTGAGGACCTACTACGTATCAGGCATTAGAGACATATAACATTTAAATATTAGTAAGTGTAATATAAAAATATGTTTTCTGTCCAAATAATTTTGGAATATGTTGAGTTAATAACACTTATAACTGCAGAATCATAGATTCTTCAATATGATGGTGTACATTGTTGAACTTCTACAGGGGATGATTATCTCACACTTCTTTGGCATTGAATCCATTTTTCTATAACAAGTCTTGAACATAATTTTCAATAAAATATATTTAAAAATACAATTTCATCCTTTTTTGTATTTTGCCATCTTTGTCAAATTCTGATATCAGGATTATACAGCTTTATAAAATTAACTAGAAAACTACTTAATTAATATCTTGGAACAATTTTTATAGCATAAGAATTATCTGTTCCTTTTATGTTGGAAAGAATGTCTTAGTCTTTTTGAAAAATAATACTTTGAAAAGCTTTTGATTGGTCATTGTGGTTTTTCAAAAGTATATGCTTATTAATTTAAATTTGAAAATTTGTACTTTTTCTAGAAAAATTTACATATATATATATATATATTTTTTTTTTTTTTGAGACGGAGTTTTGCTCTGTCACCCAAGCTGGAATACAGTGGTGCTATCTCGGCTCACTGCAAGCTCTGCCTCCTAGGTTAACGTCATTCTCCTGCCTCAGCCTCCCAAGTAGCTGGGGTTACAGGCACCCGCCCCCACACCCAGCTAATTTTTTGTATTTTTAGTAGAGATGGGGTTTCACTGTGTTAGTCAGGATGGTCTTGATCTCCTGACCTTGTGATCTGGCCCGCCTCAGCCTCCCAAAGTGCTGAGATTACA